TGGCGACGAGGATGCCTAAGAACGATGGAGAAGGGCAACCAACCACACCTGGACTTGGACAAACGGCTACAGCACCCACATCTTCCAACTTCGGAAGGATTCAATTATTTCAAGAATATGACAATAATGCGGAAGACTTTGATTCGTATCTGGACAGGTTTGAGTGCTATTGTGAACTTAATGGGGTGAGTACCGCTGACCAAGTTTTATTGTTCATTAGTAGTGTGGGTCAGGAGATTTACAAAAAGTTAAAATCAATATCATGGCCTAAAACGCCCAAAGAACTAAGCTATGACCAAATTAAAAAATCCTTATGTTCCCACCTTTCACCCAAACCTCTACCTAGTGTTGAAAAGCAAAGATTCCGTGCTCGGAAACAGGGAGAAAATGAATCATTTAATGATTTCTTAAGTAGTTTGAAAAAACTCAGCGTTCATTGTGGTTTTGAGACGGAGGAGCGACTTCAAGAAGAAATATTAGATCAAATCACTACAGGTATTAGGAATAAGCAAACCCAAAATTATTTTCTAAGGACACCTAACCTAACCCTTGATGAGGCGGTGAAAAAGGCTTTGGCTGACGAGTTAGCTGACAAAGGGGTTGAGAATTTGCATGCTAGGGATATCAAATATTGGAAGGGAAATGTTTCTAAGTTAGGTCCCTCTGATAGAGTTAAATATTTTCCAAATAAAAAGACCCAGAGTTATGGCAGCAAGAGCAATAGGTCAAGTTCGACCAATTTTAGGGGAGAAGCAGGTTCTAAGCAAGATAGGGACACATTCAAACAAGGTTCTAATAGGTCTTCACCTACTACTGTTTGTTTTCGCTGTGGATCAAATTTTCACCTTGCTAATAAATGTAAATATTCCAATTCTAAGTGCCATAAATGTTCAAAAGTAGGACATTTAGCAAAAGTGTGTGGGAAATTTCCTAGGCCTAACCGAGTATGTACATTACAGGCAAATCATTCAAATGTCATGAGCGATACTGAATCAAATGTTGATGAATGTGCTGACATATTTCATATTAAAAGTAGTGTTGATCCGCATGAAAAAATCATGTTGGATGTTAAGCTAAATGATAAATTGGTATCGATGGAACTGGATACCGGTAGTACCTATTCGGTAATGTCGGAGCACAAATTTCATGATCTAGGTATTGGAGGCCAGATTAAACCATCTAACCTACTGTTGGTAACCTATGACAAATCAAAAATAAAAGTTAGTGGTTATGTTATGGTTAAGGTTAAATATGATGAACAAGAGAAATTATCTAAACTATTTCTTGTGAAAGGAAATTTTGACACAGTCTTTGGCAGGGATTGGCTTTATACCTTTAAGTTGAATTGGGCCAGTATTAAACACATTAGTGATGACAACTTTGTAAATAGAATCAAAAATCTTGTTAATGATTATCAGGATTTGTTTCTCAAGGAAGTAGGCTGTATTAAGGATGTTGTAGCTTCCCTTCATTTAAAAGAAAATACAAAATCTGTATTTTGTAGGGCTCGACCTGTACCATTTGCGCTAAAAAAGCGGGTTGAAGATGAACTTCACAGACTAGAGAATTTAAATTTAATATCTAAAACTACCCATTCAGAGTGGGCGACCCCGGTGATTCCAGTCATTAAACCGGATGGTAATATTAGGCTTGTAGCGGACTACAGGGTGACTGTAAATAAACACATTATTCCTGATGAACACCCGATTCCGACAATTGAAGAAATTCTGAGCAAAGTTAGTGGTGCTAGATACTTCTCTAAATTTGATATTAGGGAAGCGTATATGCATCTACCGGTAGACGAGGAAGCGTCAAAACTCATGACTATCAATACGACATTAGGCTTATTCAATGTAAATAGGTTGATGTATGGTGTAAGCAGTGCACCGGCGATATGGCAACGTACCATGGAGTCTATTTTCAATGGAATTTCAGGAATTCAGATTTTTTATGATGACATCAAGCTTTGTTCCCCTGATAAGCAAACTCATATTCAGAACTTAGAGAAGTTTTTCACTATTTGTAGAGAAAATAATATTCGTCTCAAACGTGAGAAATGTGAATTTTTGACTGATGAAATAACGTACCTAGGGTATAAGTTAGATCGTGAAGGGATCAAGAAGACTGAAGAGAAAATTCAGGCTATTGTGGACGCAAAACCTCCTACAAACCTCACAGAACTACGCTCTTTCATAGGGTTTGTTTCGTATTATTCCCGCTTTATTCCAAAAGCTGCTGACTTGATGAGACCTCTTTATGACTTAATGAAGAAAAATAAGACATTTCAATGGACTCAAAATGCAGATACTGCGTTCAACGCGATCAAAAAGGAAATAGTCTCTGATAGAGTTCTCGATTATTATGATCCTGCTAAACCTTTGATTGTAGCAACTGATGCTAGTCCCTATGGAATAGGAGGAGTTCTGTCCCATCAATATCCGGATGGGTCGGAAAGACCAGTGATATTTGTTAGTCGGAGTCTTACACCTAGCGAAATGAGATATTCACAGATAGATCGTGAAGCCCTTGCAATTGTATGGGTCGTTAAGAAATTGTTTAACTACATTTATGGCAGACATTTTATTCTCTACAGTGACCACAAACCTTTGGCTTCATTCTTTAACGCTGAAAAGGGAGCACCCTCACTTAGCACTACACGACTTCTTCATTATTCGATCTTCCTCCAAGGTTTCGACTATGAAATTAGGTACAAAAAGCACGACCAACACTTCAATGCTGATTTTTGCTCCAGATTTTTTATTAAATCTAACAAAAAGACTACTGACGCGGCAGAAATTTTCCAACTTGAACAATTAAATATTCTACCAGTTACGGCAGAGCAAATTGCAAATGAAACTGATGAAGACACTTATTTATCTCAGCTTAAAAGGTCTATTCAAGAAGGAAGTAGGCAGGTTCAACAAGACAGATTGGGGGAGTGGACGATTCAAGATGGCTGTATCATGAAAGGGATCCGAGTAGTAATCCCCAGGAAACTTCAGACAAAAATACTTCAAGAACTCCATGAAGGTCATTTTGGAATGGTTAAGATGAAAACCCTAGCAAGGTCACATGTTTACTGGGAAGGGATTGACCGAGATATAGAGGAATATGTCAGGCATTGTGAAGCATGTCAAAAACAAAGTCCTATGCCAAAGAAAGAGAAAATGCATGCATGGGAGTATCCAAGTGGACCGTGGCAACGAGTTCACATAGATTACGCAGGTCCGTTTCACGGCCAAAATTATTTTATCGCAGTTGATGCATACTCTAAATGGCCAGAAATATTTTCAACTTCAAAATGTACCTCAGATAGCACCATAAATATATTGGAAGAGTTATTTTCTCGTTGGGGTTTTTGTTCCTGTATTGTATCGGACAATGGGACAGCTTTCACCTCGCATGAATTCCAAAATTTTCTAAAGAAATACCAAATCAAACATATCACAACAGCACCATTTCACCCAAGTTCCAATGGCCAGGCAGAACGTTATGTTGGCATCCTGAAGCAAAATCTACGGAAGACTCTAGATAAACCAGGGAAAACTAACTCCAAACTTTTAAATTTTTTGTTGCACTATCGAAGAACGCCTCATGGTACAACAGGGGTTTCACCCGCCCAGCTCATGCTAAATCGAGAATTAATCACGTCAATTGATCTGGTAAAATCGAACACAGTTCTACAAAATGTGATCAAAAACCAAGCTAGAATGATGAGTTACGACACAGGTAAATCTACAGACCTTGCAATCGGAAGCAACGTAATCTACAAAAATTTTTCGAGAACAGGGGAGAAATGGCACCAAGGAACCATCCTTAAGAGGAATGGGAATGTCATGTATGATATCAGGTGTGAAGACAAAACTATACGAAGACATGCAGATCAGATAAGGAACTGTCCGATCTTGACTGAGGGCAAAACTGAACAAGGAAGTCATTTAGCATATGAAAATGTTGAAACAATTGATCTCACTAAAACCCCACAACCTAGAACACCCACAACCAGACTTAGCCCAAATCCTAATTCCGTGACCCCTAAAAATCAATCTGATGTCCAAACAGAACCAATTGTGTCCAATACCCCGAAAAGACCTAAAAGACTGATCAAACCCCCAAAAAGGTACTCACCCTAGTGTTATTTAAGGAGGGAGGAGTGTTGTATATAGACTGGAAGAATTATATATATTTTTGTTATTTTATATTATTGAAGAAATCTATTATTTTTTTGAAGAAATTATATTTTATATTGTATAAGAGTTATCATGTAGCACCGATTATGTTCTAATTCTAATGGCATTGCACTGAGCAATAGAAAATCTTAAGTTCGTTAGTTCTTCTTCTATGTTCCGCCAATGATTGTAATGATGTAATGCAGCCAACGAGATGTCTAATGTTTTCGGCCTAGCCATATTTTATTATCAATTCTAATCGCCATAACTATTTCAATTTCTTTTTCAAGTTTTGTAAATTTCATCTCTTCTGTACTTCTAACATGTTTCTGTATCAAGCAAACACCTTTTAAGGTAAGAATATTGTTATTAATAATGTTAGGCTAAAGTCACATGTTCGTAACCTCAATTGCTATTTTATATACATAAAACATTGTGTCTAAATTCATTTAATGCTTTGTTTAATACTTTTGTTTTGTATAATTAATCCAAATTTGCAATATTAAAATTTCAAATAAATATAACTTCAAATAAATGTTTTTACAGCTTAAGATTTTATTAGGCTATAATAGGCTACAGCAATTGTAATTGTTACAGGTGTTTTCTTTCTTTCAAAATACAATTTTATTCTACCACTGATGATGCGTCTCTTTTCAACTTCCTGATGCGACAATATGCCTCTCATTTAAGTGAAACTAAATTTAAAAGTTTTCGCGCACTTGTTAGATGTTAAAAAAGTGTTCAAATGACTTTATATTTTTTCATAAGTTGAGTTCAATCCTTATTCCATAATTGTCACACAGAGGGACCTGGGTTGTAAACACTCAAGGCTCAGTATCATGATTTATTGGGCTTAACTAAATATAAATAAAATAATACACTGATTTGTGCCGTCACAAAAATAACATTGACAACCAAATCACCAACTGAACTTTTACAGGTCGAGTCTTACAAAACTTATATGAACTAATTGATCACATAATGACAATGAGCACCTAGCCATTGATATGTACACACTAGGAGTCCGTGACTGACATATATATACACTAGGTTACTAGACTGGGCGAGGACGAGGCTTATCTGTTGAGAACACCTAAACTGGCTCCGTTGTTTGTTCTGACTTGTTGCTGTGGCTGCTGTTGCTGTTGAGGTGAAACGCCTGAAACACGATATACCTTGTAAACATGTGAAAATACAGGTTATGATGCAATATAGGACACAATGCCTTGATGATTGTAAGGATAGACTTGCCTGAATGGAAAAGGTTTCTATACTTACATAAGAAAAACAAAAACTACACACAAAATAGTTTAAAGGTATAACCAAGCGGCTTAAAAGGAGTTTTACTGAAAATGGATAGAGTTTAATCAGCTTAACACGTTCGCTGCGGCACGTCAAATGGCGGGCCTATCTTTAGTGCGGCGCAGCCCACAGCATCGAACAAACCCGACTTCCGTGTGTGATTGATTGGCTTTCCAATTTCGGTCTGACGAATAGCAAATAACGTGCGGGGATGTCCTACTTTACGACGAGAGTCAACGTAGTTCTCTAAACACCCACAGAGAGCAGCACTGCTTGGAACGTAGCCGGTCCCATTGGAATTGTATTGCCAAATGGAGGGAAAAAGACGGGACCGGATCTAGTATAGGTCCGCTTTCGACCGACGCTAGAGCATAAACGAAGCTATACAAAAGGCATTGCCGAGCGTGCCCGATCGGGAACTGCCGCACTCAACGTGTTAACTGAGACCAGAGTCTAATAGATACATGATGAAGTTGACTGAGTAACTAGTTTTGTGACCTCTTGAATCTCACAAGAGCATGTACGTTATTCCAGTAGTGGGGGTACAGTAGCCCTGCTGATAACCCGCGGGACCATATATACGGCCACGTGCAGTTTGTATTCACCCTGCTAACTAGGACTGCAGGAAGAAGATACAGTATCGTGTTTGGTACCATTCTATTTGTGACAAACGCTGATTCTCACAGTATATTTTGTTTTGTGCTAGCTTGACATACATCACTGCAGTCATGTTTAGAACTCAGCTGACGTTTTGTTGTGTGTTGTGCAATTAATTACATAGATTGCTAGTTCGTTTAAAAACAATGAGCAACCGTGCTGAAATGTCACGTTTTCTTCAAGATAACAAAATAAGGGAATAGTTAGACGATGATAGGTTGAGTGATCAGGAGTGGATTATTACAATAATTATGATTAAGATATTAGTGTTCAGTGCGGTCATGTGACCTAGAGTCAGGCCTCAAATACCCGGGCTGGGGGAAAGTAGCATGACTTAGCATGAGGTTAAACTAACTTTTAGCCCCTGGACATCAATTACATTAGGTAAGGTAACTAAACTCCCCTTTCAAAAAGCTCCACATACTAACACAATATAATTAGAATATGTTCTTCCACTGACAGAATAGTCCACTAAAGAAGTTTTGAGCTGAATGTACGGCTAAAATGTATTAATAAGTGACAGTGAACTATTAAAAATATTTTATGTGTATTGTAACGTGTTTGGGTGCCTTGTGATGGGCTCCTTCCCATTGATCTTAACTGCTGAAATAACAACAAGCCTGTGTATACAAGTTTGATGGATTTTATCTATGTGATATTGCCGCAACCCTCTAGTACTAGCCTGAAGTAATGTGTTAAACAGTTCCGGACTAGAATTTAGCGTCCTAAGATGTAAAGGTGGAAAAAATCGTCTATTAGCAAAACGGACCAACAAAGGTATTAAACTTGCTACAGACTAGAATGTTCCAAAACAGAGCCAGAGTTTGGAATTAGGAACCACGGTACAGTAAAAGCTTGCTAAAAATTGTTGCCTGCTTTGACCTCCTGCCTTGAGTCAGCCGCAGTCATGGTGTTTGCTCAACGTGACTGCAATACAAGTGATGTGTGTAAATATTGATAAAAATATATCACAGGGAAGTAAGGTAGAGAGGAAACATTAAATAGTACACTTAGTCTAGGTGCTGTCTAAGTCTAGTCGCTGGTGTTTAGGCTAGGGCTAAGTCCAACACCACCCCCCCCCCTCGCCCTCATGTACTACAACGTTCACAGTGGAGGAAGACCCTATGCGATAAGAATTCCTGCACAGTGCTTGCTGCACTTCCTTCCTAGTCACAATGATTGCCGCACAATATACTAGAACTGAACGCACACAGTTGTCTTGTAAGCAAGTTTCTTCTGTATCACTGTGAATATATAGTCAATACTATTAGTGATAAGAAGATCCCCCTTCAAGTGTCACACAAGCTGGGAAATGTACATAGATACACAATCATCTTGCTCAAGAGCATAGGCAACTGCAAAAAAGGTAATCTGATATAATCTTGCATACGTGATGAGAAGGGAAGAAATGTATCAACTCAAGATATTCATTAGAAATTACCTCGAAAGAAGGCAACCAGGGAGACCAAAACAGAGATGGTGGGACCAGTGGAGCCACAGAACAGGATACAGAGGACAGGTCGAATTGGAGAGGATTTGTTGGTGTGGCTAAATATCACCTGCAATATACTGGCCCTGGGAGTAAGTAAGTTTAAGGGGCTACAATCTTAACCAGATCCGCATTTGACATTATCAAGCAGAGTGAGCAATTCACCCAATTTAGGAAGCAATATGGCTTTAGGAAAACAAATGGAAGATCTAACGTCAATGTCAGGAAGCAATATGGCTGTAGGAAAACAAACGGAAGATCTACCTAGGTGAGTGAAACCTAGGAGGGCAGCACTACTCCTCCTTTTGAAGGAACTTGGACTATGGAATCTTAGAACAACTATGTCATCGAAATCGTGGCAGATAATTATCACGTTGCATTGCCACGGTAGCGGAAGATGATCACAGTTTCATTAAGATTCAAGAGGATTCTAGAATTGGTATGGAAAAACCAACAATAGGAATATTCAGTTTTGAAATCCAACAATCTCTATTTCTATGGTTCAATCCCAAAATACACAACTCGTTTATGATTTTCACAGTTAACCGTAGGTACCCTGTATAATGTAACTAAACTCTAGCTTGTCTTGTTGTTGTACCTTGTGAAGGTGAAGAGCTGAGTTTGTCATTGGTGGACATGCGGGAGAAAGCCATCAGAGCGTCGGGGAAGTTGGGCGGAGTGGCTGGCGTGTTACACGGTGTTACCTGCATCAAACTTGATTAAGCAAATACATCATTTTATGACCCAGACTATTGTGTAGTGGAACCTTCATAACAAGTCACACTTCAAGTGTTATTTTAAAACATCCCTAATCACATGTTATTGCAAACCTTGATAACAAGACTTATTTTTAAATCCCCAGTGGAGACTTGTTATCCGAGGATCAACTTTATTTTTAGGCTACTTTTTTAACATTAGGCTATTCATGAGACCAAGCTCGACCAATGACTAAAGATAAGAATGTTTATTTTGTTTTACCAGATGGAATTTTGTTTTGAAGAAAATTATGTATAGGCAGGCTAAAGCCTCTCCCATTGGTCTATAAAGCCTCTTCCTGGAAATATAAATTGAAACATAAATTCCGTCATAAAATCGTAACAGAGGTTTTTTGTCACAGTTCTAGACCTTAAAAATTGCTTTAAAGTCACTAAAAGGCTTTTAAGAACTATTTCCTGAGGGAGGACTCCCCAAACACCCTTCTGGCTACACACCCGATAGCCTCCACCTTGACAAGGTAATGAACCGTCACTGTATAGCCTACTAAACAATGGAACCTTAGTTCAAAATCACATTATTATTTGACTGATTTCAATCAGAATAGTGAAAACCAACTGATTCCATTTCTTATTTTTCCCATTGATGCTTCTCCACCATGATGACAACACAAACATCCAAAGTTGTATTGAACTGTCAAAACCAAAACATGTTTGGTTTGCACTTAGCTAATAAATGTGCATTTCTGTGTCGCTTCTGTGCTAAGTTCTAGAAGTATTATTTGATGTTTTCTTCATCTACCTTTTATTTAAAAAAAAAACCTTTTGATTCACTCAGTCACACAGCAGGTTGCATAGAAAAAATTTATATTTAAACTGACAGGTTACTTTATTTCTTTGCTATTTTATTGATTAGGCCTATATAAAAACAAATTGTACAACCAAATGGTAAAACTAACTGTTAATTAAGGTTTTTAGTTACTACTAGCCAGGTGAAAAAAGGCCCAAAAAAGGTCAGGGTTTGCCTCATTTTGTGAAAAAAATTGTGATTTCTTTAAAATGATCGCCATAAAAAAAAATTATTTTGTAATGATTATTTTTTGTAAATAAATTATGACTTGATAAAGTTCTATACCCAGTTCCATAAACATATCTTAAATATTTTTTGAGAAATAAATGTAAAAACAAAATGGCAAATGTTTTGCGAGGTATTGTGGAAAAATGTTATTCTTAATTTGCGCTTCATTTTGACCCAAGGGCCATCAATTAATTATTAATTCATAATTAACTCATTGTACTTTACGGGACATCCTATACGGTATTACCAGTAATTTATTTTAGCAAATTCCCTATTGGGTATTTAAGTTAAGCTATTTATTTATTTAGTCTTGGCAACTCTTTAATAAGCAAGAGATAATCATTGGTGGAGGATTTAAGTAAACTTGAAAGACATCTCATCTTTGATAGGCTTAAATGTAACTTTTTCTAAGCGCTTGTCTCTTACCTGTCCAAAATGTGTCGCAGTCTGTGAGTATGTAGGTAGAGCGGCCTCTTGGAAAAATATACTCAGAGCTGTCTGCAACCAAAAACAAAACAATGCACTGTAGTCACTGATTGGCTTGTATGAGACAATGGTCATAGAAAATTGACTAGGTATATATAGGTGGTTTAAAACAAACATTATTGAATAGTGTCCTAAGGAAAACTGGTAAAAAACGAATCAATTTCAATAAAACAACATACAAAGGAAATGTCAGCTTCAACTTTTCATATAACTAGACATTCCATCCTCATGTTAAAATTAACTTCAATCGAGCCATTAACAAAATGTTCTGATAAATGACCAATATCTATTGAATATGCTAACTCCAAAATTTGCTAAGAGCAAATTGTAAGCTATAGCATCATTGTATGTCACATATGTAGGCCTATGCATATAGTCCTAACAAGTATTTTTTTCTCACCCCCCAGCCCAATATTTCAGCAATTGAAGCTTGAAATATTAATTTGTATAAACATAAAAACGAAGACAATGTATTTTATAGTTATTGAAATGTAGTGTTCTGAGTGTCAGATTCTATAATTTCACATAGTGGTGTCTTGGTTGGTATCAGCTGTACAATCACAAAGCTGGCCACAGACACAACATTGAGGTAGTGTCTGCTTATTGACAGTTTACAGTGAAGCCTTTCTACTCTTCAATCAATACAGCTCAGGGATTCACACTCACTCCAGTCAAGGAAACAACAAACCTTGAAGCCTTGTACACTGTATCTATGAGGAAACTCGCACAACTGTCTGGGAGAAAAACATGTTTGTCTTTTGCATTTTTAAATTATTGTCATGTTTGTTCATTTTAAAACTAAGGAGCTGTACTTTCCATGGAAATTATATTAAACCCATTATTGGCCAGGCGTCTAACAAATTTGAAATGAAATCATAGTGTAAACTTACTATTCAACCGTGTTGTATTGTGCTATGTTACTATTATGCCATATTACTAACTTATGCTTTATGCTCTGTCTGTTCTCAAAATTAGAGCGATCTTGGTTTGCAACATGTAAAAAATTAGTTTTTTTCAGAAACGTTAAGGTATTAACTGTTTGTTATTTGCAAAAAGCTACATTGGAACGCAATTTTACATCAGTCCTACCATTCTTCATTAAAACCCAGGTAAAATACAAGATGATGACGAGAATATGATTTAAAGTAAAATTAAAGTCGAAATTATGAATCTAATCTCGCTTTTGTCTTAAATTGGGTGTGCTTGCGTGCTACTCAAAAGGATCTATATTGTATTTGGCACAAGTAGATGGTAAGAAAAGAGTAGGGCCTACAGACAGTTCAAATATGCGTTTTGTGAAGTTTATTACAGTAGAACACAGTGTAAAATGCTTCAGTAACTTCAGTTGTTTAATTAAAGTATTTTCTAACCCATTCTAAAATTTCTATAGCCTGAAATAAAACACTATTATTTAGACATGGTTTTAAATTAATTTTTCCTACACACCGTGGTAATAGATAGGCTGGCTCTCACCCCTTTATTTCGGTTAAACAGGGTTCTACTGTAGTTTACAATGTGTACAAAGTAAGTGGGCTACAAACACAATGAGTTATGTTAGTTTCAACATACAGAGACAACAGTTTATCTGACAGTGATTAGATAAAACTGTTTTCACCAAGTTCAAAAGTCAGTGAGCTGGTAGTAAATATTTATGGAATGACCATGTACCTGGATCTAAGTACCCTATTTCTGGTTTTCCAAAAAAAAAAAAAATACACTTTCTAGTTTGCCTTGGCAACATTTGGTAGGCAGCTAAATTAGGCCTTACAAAAATTGCATTGTACATTGTCAAGTTTGAGTTTAGCCTACATTGTATCGAAATAATTACTGTAGGAAGATGATTTTTCAACAAGCTATTGATTGGTTTCTTGAGATTGCAAGTCACTGTATATCACAAATTCCTGTAACTCTAAACAATAAATGACATAATTTTTTTTTCTAATTTTGACATGGCAAGTCCATGCATTACATTAGTGTTGATACTTTTTTTTACTCAGGCCTGGGGGTGGGGGTGGATACCTCTTTAGAAACAACCTACCCGGAAGGTATTTACCTGGTCCACGTCACTAACAATAGATTCAGACACCCTTTTTATAAACTGGAAGATTTTTTCAGTTGTAAAGATGTCCAGTTTTAGGTGTTGTATTCTTGTTATTTTTTTCTTTTAAGCCGTGTGTTTTTAATTTATAATGTATCTTTTTAACCAGTCATGTACATTTTTCAATATTAGGCTATTAGGGCAAGATAGTTTTAAAATAAAGAAATACTTATGACCTGGTAGTTGCACTGCATCTTATGACTTTGTCAACAATACCTCTGTATTTTTACGACAAATGAAGATTTATTATTATTAATACCAATATAGTTTGTGACAGGCTCATTCACCTTGTATGTTCTTATTTGATGACCGACTACAGCTGATTCTTATTGATAGAATGTTTACTTTAAGGGATTAAACTTGTTGACTAGAAGGAAACAAAAATGTAAAAATATATGATTTTACCAAAGCAGTTTAAACACTTTGGGGTCCACCCAATGACATAATAATGCTTCTCCCCTGTCTGCCAGGATACATTGTAACATTTCCAAGTCATATAACAGTCCAGAGTGTGAAGGTGTCGGACAGTCGTAGAGTCGGAGGTTGGCAGTCTGACAGACTATTGTTAGCCTAAGCTCAACAAGTACTGTCTGTATTTGTCTTCACGGCCTCCTCTACTACCACACTTACTGTCTGTTCACATCGAGTACATCATTGTGTGATACTCTAACAGATTTTGAAAACTGAATAGTCTCTACCTTGAAATGAGTTTAAAATCATTTCAACTAGTCAAACAATCCTGTGGAGTTTAAAAGCTAATGTAGGGCCTAAAGCTTTATGTTAGACAAGTAAATAGTCAGGTCTAAACATGTCATATGATTAGGGTTCCCAGGGACCCTCCATCAAAAAAGGGGACAAAATTACTCACCAAGGGTGGTCCTAGACATATATTTTGGGGGGGGGGTCACCGGGGGGCCTGGGGGGTATGGAATACCCCCCAGCAAAGAAGGGGGGGAAAAATTGGAAATAATGTGCTAAAATTAGTACTTTTTAAGATATTTTGAGGACCTAGTTTAATGTGTTCAAGCTTCCCAGTTTATTTTTCAAGGTCAAGAAATGTTAAAAAATAAACTTGTACTCGTATAATGTCATGTTTTTTTTGTTTTTTTTTTTTATTATTGAGACTTGTGATTTTAATATCAAAGGAATACCGTAACATTACAACACATTCAAGCATTGTTTGATTTACAAAAACACCCTGGTGCCAATGTGCATGCTAAACAGAAATTTGTCCAGACCATGATTTTGAACCAGAGAACTTATTTCATCTAAGAAGTGTTTAAGAACTAGCACCCAACACGACTGCATTATTCCTGCCCAGCAAGCAACAGTTCATGTTGACCACGCTTAAAACAAGTAAACTTTTCTTTCAACTTTTCTGAAAATACACATTTTCTTTTCGGCATTATGGTAGGCCCTAGGGACGATCAACACGGACCAATTGAAAATTAAGATAATTATTTTTTAAGTAGGCATGTAACATGTAACGTAAAGTAAGCAAGTAAGCAGACGAAGAGCTAGTCACTGGTCGACGGCCGACGGTCGCTCGCTAGTATGCTACTGGGCCTGGCAAACTGGCTACTAGTGAGCAGAGTTATTCAGTTTACAGTCAGCAGAGTCAGGCAAAGCAGGAAACCCATTGTTCGCCTTCCGTTCCGTTTGGTTCTACAGTATTTCCAATGGATTCTAGCGTACGTTATACACAAAATTTGACCTAAAGAAAGAGGAAATGACACTTTTATACATAAGATATTATTAAAGTGTAGTATTTTTTAACTTAGTTTAATGTTATGATGACGATTAATTATAAAAGCTGATTGCTAATATTAATACTTGCAGAAATATTTTTTTATTCTCTCACAAAGTCAAAATCCCGGACATTTGCAAGTATTGCCAAAAATCCCCCCGGACGTTTTTTTTGTACCCAAAAAGAGGATGTGTCCGGGAAAAAGAGGACTTCTGGGATCCCTACATATGATGTGATCCCTTGAGGTTGTAGGAACGTAACCTCAAATGCGATTGGGGGTTTTTAATCTGCCAATGTAGCCAACAGGAAGTTGTTAATTATTTTCCAAGGATGGTACATCAATTAATAGGGTTATAGCAATAAAATTTTACCCCAAAAAGATATTAAATTACGTTTTGTATTGACAAAACATTTGGTTTAAAAAGCTCAAAACAGCATAACATCCTTTTGTTATTCTAATTTTTGTAGTAATATAGGCCTCCAAACAATAAACCCGTGAACGAGAATGGACCAAAAACGGAACAAAAGAATTACCCTAGCTCAATTGGATTTATTTTATAGAAATTTGCAACTTAGTAAAATCGCTGATATGAAGTATTTAGTGAATAAATTAACAAAAGACTCAACTGTTGTTGTCACTAGAAGTTAAACATTTTGTATTATTGGCTGCTGACGAAAAAACATGTTGGAGAACAACACATTTAACTTAATAAAATGTCCAGAATAAAAAATGTTTTAAATATTTTGGACCAATCATATCACACTGAGAAAAAGCACTAAGCTAAGTTAATGTTATATAATTATTAGCTGAAACTAAAAAGAAGCTTCAACACTTGAAAACTGTCCATTTAAACACGTTCAGGATGAAATTACATCTGACACCTAATTTGGCTACAAGCCTACATAAGTAGTTTGAAACATCTTATAATTAACAGCTATTAAACAACAACAAGTCATTTATTTTCCTAGATTTACACCGAATTGCGTATAAATGCAATGGCTAAATCAATGAATTTAATACAATTTGTCTACTAGACTACAACATGAAGATCTATAGGCTATATGTAACATCTGTTCAACCAGTTGTTACACAAATACAAGACATTGTTGCATGAGAAAGCCTAAAATTACAACATAAAATCTTTTAAAAAAGGCCTACCGGTACTAATGATTCATGCAGGTTCTATCTTACCATGTGGGCGCTTGACAAAAACTGTAGGTTTTAGGCCATAAATCAATAATGTTATCAATTAAGCCTAAGTTATTAAAACCAAATAAAATAAAATACTGTAAGTTATTACATTACACATGACCCTAGAAACATTTAAATTAGGTAATATAGCCTAACCATTTTATGAAATTAAATCAAAAAAGTCTTTGCCGTGGGCTAGTTAAGTAGGCCCCTACCCTTCACAAAAAAAAAGATTGAGGTGGGAAAAGTGTAATTTTTTTTTTAATTTGCCTTTAAGGCTCAAAAGATAAAATAAAATCTAGTCACTTTTAATTGACAATATTAAATCGTTTTGAAATCTTATCTCTGGCAGTGTTTAACCTATGGGCTTCTTTGATACATCATAAAAAGGTGGGGTTTACATGAACAAATAGGCTACAAACAAAAAATGTTGGAAAATTTTAAATATTAGTAGTGTGACACATGTTGCTCAAATTCGAGCAACTGCTAAGTAGGCCTATTAACTTACAGGCGTTATTTCAAAACGAATACCTAACAGTCATAATTTCTGATGACTTTAAAAGATTCAACTCAAAGATTATGGGAATACAGTAGAGTCCCCCAAACTCGGCGTAATGTGGACTGGAAGGGTGCCGAGTTTGTGAAATGGAGGGTTATTTGGAACTAGGGTTAAAATAAGCACAAAACAATTATGCTTTTCAACCGCCTTTTTAGCGAATTTCCGATATAGGCTTAGAGAATAAGCTATTACACCAGTACTGTAGTACTCATGGTAAGACCTGGACCCGGGAATGATTTACTTTTTCATTTTGAGGTCTCTAGAGACCACCATCCGTTCAAATCATTTGTGTCCATTAGCGCAATTAACTTAGAGCAAAAATGATCCGTTTTCGATGAAATTTGGTACAAATGTGTAAATCTACGTTTATTCAAACGAGATCGCGAACCAGCATGATTGGACTATGGGAACAGGGGATTATGGGGGGTTTTATGGGGTAAAAATAGGTTTTCCCATGATTTATGACCCTAAAAACACAAAATTTCACAATTTCTTTCCAAACCATTTTGTAGAGTTTAAACAAATAATTTAGTAGGCCTAAGCCTATATTGAAGCGTTATTGTGCGCCTAATGGTTAGGGTTCAGACAAAATTCAAAAAATATTTAAATTTTAAATTCCCATGTTATTTCTTATGGAGAATAAGTCAACCAACAAACTGTTGTAGGTAGTTTGCTTGTTTATGAGCATATTTTGATCGAATTTGGAAAATACATTAATTTCTTACTAAACTATTAACATTTTACAACAAAAAAACACTTTCTTACCCTCCCTGTTGCAGCAAACCTAAGTAAGTAGGTATGGTACTCGTTAAACTAATTATATTTAGCCTAAAAAGGAAATTTAAATGTGATATTTATAAGGAGGCATTTTAGTAAATCCAATCAGGCAAATGGAAATTTGCTTAGCCTGCAGGTTTGCTGCGGGAGGGGGGTATTTATTTACATTTATATTACAAGTCAGTGGTACCGTAAGTAAGTCATCAGATATAGTAAAACAAATCCTTGGTGCCTTAGGAAATAAAAAAATGTATAATGTACATACATATTTAGGCCTATTTGACTCAAAAATTCACTAAGTTAATGTTATCCAGACTGCTGGGGGTTTTAGTGCCGAGTTTGCGGGATTCTACTGAATTTGTAAACTGCTCGAAAGTGTCTTGAAAAACATTGCAAAATTACGATCAAAAGAGCGACTGAACTTTAAGTACCGGTAACTTAGTAAAAACTTAAAATCCACTAGGGCCTAACTTAAGTTTAAATATTTGTAATTAACTTATATTAAGTACGGTAACAAATTAAATTTAGGCCTAAGTCACAGTTTTATAGGTACGGTACTCTTAATTTTCTTTTAGCAAATTTGCGTATAAGTTACCGTACCTAAAGGAAGTAAGTTAGCACTCTCAGATCATGATGGGCAATTGCTCACAATAAGTTAAATACTAGGTACAGTTGAACCTCTATAAGACGAATTTCAAGGGGTACGGGAAAAATTCGTACTATAGAGGTATTCTTAATAAAGAGGGTCGTTTTATCGAGGTTTAATGCTGCTGTTATTCTTCTTATAGAGGTTTCTCCTCGCTCCAAGGTCTCCCCAAAACAATGACTGAGGAAGGAGGATGGATGGGTGGGGGTTTCATGTTGAGACAAGCTTCTGTTTGTTTTGAAAACTACGTACTATGGAGGTTAAGATTATGATAAATTCGTCTTATAGAGGTCACGTTCGTCTTGTAGAGGTTTTGTGCTAAGAATATTCGTTGTATAGAGGTTAATCAGTCCTAGCCCATGTCACAAACAAATTCGTCTTATGGAGGTTTTTAACTTAATTACTACGTTGTATGGAGGTGTGTTTAGCATTGACCTATATGAAAGTGTCAAGGGGATTAAAAAAAATTCGTCTTATCGAGGAATTCGTTTTATAGAGGTTCTTACAAACGAGGTTCAACTGTAATGCGTAAAGAAAAAGCCAATAACCCTAAAATATTAAGTTATTGGGCGGAAAGTAAATAAAAGAAACGTCTTATAACACTTGAAACATATAAGTTTAATTTACGCTTATACTGTTCCTCACAAGTATAGCTGAAGTCAGTTTAGTTTATAGGCCTAAGATAAGTTATGACGAACAAGGTAGGCCTACTATTTGCAAAATTTACCATTAAACTTAAAAAAATAACTTAAGTTATGCTAGGACAGAATACAAATTGACGGTTTTTTTATTAAGTTGCATAAATCTCTCAAATCACAACAAAACTATTGTATTAAAAAATGCTGCCCTGTTTGTTACTATCATAAACAATCATTAGGCTAGTTATATCAGGTGAAACTATAGCCGGGGTATGTAGGCTATTGACAGGAAATTTCAATATCCGCCCATGCTGATGCATAACTTAACTTACGCCTACACAAACTTATTCCATTATGCTTCAGAAATGCTTCACATGCTATTCGGGAAAGAAGAAAGATAATTAAATTGTGGATGAATAATAGGACACAAGCTAAATCTGTTTCGTACGCTAGAAAATCCTACAACGCGTTTGTAAAAATTTTATGCCAGTTCGATCAGTCGGCCATACAGCCATTTTCCCAGACGATAGAGCAACATTTGTTTACAAATAGTTCTTACCTCAAATTGCCAATGAGCCGCTTGTAATAACTGTTTGGCTTGTTCTCTGGCACAACCTGCAGCTAACACAAACTGATTGATCATAACTTGTTCGCGTAAAGAGTCCATTTTCGGTAATGCTAATGTAAATTGTAAAAATAAAAGTGTAATTCCAACACCGAACACAAACACGACTTGTTTTCAAACCCTACTCATTCCATTGATGAATGACGTCAAGTAGTATCCTATGATTGGGTGGAATTTCACAGCCGTTCCCCTGTCTGGCCTTCTCCCCACTACTCATTGCTATGGGTTGTTTTCGCTGTTCCAATTGTCTGGGTTTCTCCCCTCGAGCAAAACAAAACAAGGTCATCTTTAACAACGTAAACAAACAGTGCTGGCAACATCAAAACATTATTTATGGTGTAATTTATAAAATAATATACTATAGAGAGATTTGTGTACTGGTTATAAAATAAGGGAACAAGGGAACGTAGAATGTCAGTTGGTATTAACCTAATAAACTTAAGCTACCGCTTAAAAATGGCTTTATCATCCTCACAGAAAGTTGAAGTCGTAATAAAGAACGTTGTAAGTTGGTTTATAAAATTTGAAAGAGAAAACATTTTAGTGCTGTGTCAAATCATAGATTTAAACTACAGTAGTATATAGTCAAACTAAACCGAGCATGGTATCCACATAAAAAGGGTTCTTTTTTATCTAATCAAATCATTTATTGATAGAACAAAATACATATTGGCCAAGTAGTTTTATTATAAATCTTTAAATGTTTCGTATGTGTTTCGTGTTATGTGTCCTAAATGTGCTTACAACTCCATCCACGGATGAGAAGACCGTATTTTAACGTTCATACAACCTGAAGATGTGCTTGCTTAGCAGCACGAAACGGCCGTAGTTATTTCATAACTTACATAAATGTGGCAATAAATTGTTATAAAAAACAACTCTCTTTAGGTCATGAGTAGTGTTAAGTAATTTAGTCGGTGGAAATGATAGACGTAAAAACTGGTCACCACACAGATGACTCCGTAATTACTTTGACGGAAAAGGTAAAGTAACGGGAACTGCATAAATAGTTTTGTTATACTGTAGTATCAAACTTAAAAAAAAAATCGCTTATGTTATGTTATAAGTTTATGCTGTAGCCGATTAGTTTTAATCATTTTCCCCCGTTATGTTGTCGTCTATGACCTTATATTCGACGAGCGTCTTGCCACAGAAACTTTACCCTTTTTGTTTTTGAAACCGTTACCCTGACGATTTAAATATCACTGTATATGATGGAGCATACTAGTTGTAACCGTTATACTGACATCTCTATATAATAATAATATTGCTGCTTGCTTTACTCGTTCCGCAGTAGCATTGACTATCAAACTCCCAACGATACCCATCTTTAGCATCTTTTTTTATAAATATATAATCAATGTCTTGATTGTTTTAGCTGAGCAGTTGCGCTGAATCATCAAAATCCACATTTTAGCCCCTGAGCTGTTATATAACTGAAAATAGGTGTACCCTTGCCTACAGTTCAATCCATCGCAACTCAGGTGACCGTAGTTTCGTAAGTAACAACGCAGTACGATGCCATCATAGTCGACATCTACACCAACATTTGTTTGAGAAGTTATTAATTGTATTTGATGAAATATCAAATTTAAATAGATTAGTAAGTGTGATAAAACGAAAAATTTATTTGAGAATAGTCAATTGTATTTTGAGAAAGTATTATAATTATGTAATTGAGGAATCGTTCATTTTATTTCAGAATTAGGCTTTTAATTTGAGAAGTTGGTTATTAATCAGATTAATTTTGAGTTTCTCATGATCAAATCACAAGTTCTCAAATACTTAAATTAATTTGATTCCTTCTCTAATACAACTGACTGTTCTCAACTGCATTTGATGTTTTCTAAAAAATATATTTGACGAATCTCAAACACAATATTGATATGTTCTCAAATAAACATAACTGTTTCTAGAATAAAATTGATGGAAAAGGTTCAGATCACGGCTCCTGTGGAAGGGGTCAAAATATAAGCAGGAAGTGTTGTGTGTGTAGGCTGGGAGTGTTGGAGTGTTGTTAAAAGTAACATGTTGTGCTGACCTTACTGATGGCTGTTACTGAGTAGGCCAGTAAATTTGATCAGGAGGTCAGTTTTGGCGCGTAGGTAGTCTTTGTGTGGTGCACCAAAGAGGACGGGGTCCTGCTTTTGGAGCCGGACGGAACCCAAAGGCCCTTTTGGCCTTGGGTCTATATAGTTAAGACAATTTTGGTTTTCAAAATTGGTGTTTAGAGTCTTTTCCAAGTTGGGGTTTCAGTTTATAACTAAATGATTTATACAGCTCATACAGTCTACTCTACCTTTTTGTTTGATTTTAATCTTTATGTGTTTGAATATATTCTTATTAAGGAATTTGGCAACATTTTTGGACTCTAAAGTTCTAGTTGTGGCTTACGGCCACTCCCACTCCCCTGAAGATGGAAAAATAGTGTGGACAAATTTGGCAAAGGGAGTGTCTTAAAGAGTGTTCTTTTGACATGCTGTTGTTATAGTTTTGAAGACTTTTTAAGAGAAGAGACCAATTAATATTATGATCTTTAGTTTCTAGATTTTATCTATAAGGATATATATATATATATATATATTATTTTCTTGCATTTTTAGGGCTACTAATATAATAAAATTAAAACATATATAACAAAGTACCCTTTTAAAAAAAATAATAAAATAATTACTAAAAGGGTACTTTGTTATATATGTTTTAATTTTAATATATATATATATATATATATATATATATATTGTTTTGATTTATATAAGAGACATTTTTGTTGACGCTATTATGCAGTTTGTAACAACTAACTGTCTGAATATTACTTCAAGTTGGCTGAAATTGCTTCTAAAAATGTCTCTTTTAAACTTAAGTCTTATTAAGTTTTGTCATATTTATGTATTGATTTGACCGTTGGTATGAATAAATAAATACCACGTATGTGAATCTATGATATTTCCACCATTGATTTCATATATCCCAAGTATAATCAATCAATAGTATAATCAACCGACACCGACTGTTTGTAACAAAAGCGCAGACATTTCACATTTGTCACAGTTATACGGAATACGTTCCAAAAAAGGAGGAATCATTACTGCGGTGAGAAGGATGAGACACTTTTGTTTTGTTTGTGCATTTTAGAATTGGCGCCAATCCACCATTTTGGCCTAGGTCATAAAAAAGGATAGGTTAGGTTAGGCTGAGGCTCTTGTTCTGAATTCTGAAGTCTGTTTGAACGGGATTTTGATGTCAGGTTAGGAGGATAGGGATAGGGTTCTCAGAAATCGTAATTGTGATAGGATAGGGCAGAAAGTTGGAACAATAGGCCTGGCCTACTATAACAAGAACAAATCATTTATCCATCTGTCAATATACTTCACTTCTTGGGACTTATTTGCTTGGCATTGGCATTGACGATTAGCTTGGCTAGTAATGTTTGTGGCTTGGCTGGCTTACTTGAGCCGAAGAATGCTTTACATGCTTTTGCTTTAGGGCCGTATGTAAAAAAAAAACACCAGCCCTAGTGTGATAGTGATTTGAAAAGTAACTGAAGTCAAAAGCAAAAGTGAGTTAGAATTAGAAGAGCAAGAGAAGAGAGTTCAAGGGAGGCAGGCAAGGTCCAACTTACAATAACTTAAAATGGCTTTGGAAGCGGACCTCACCCCATATGAGCTGAGAGTGAAGAGAAACATTGAAGAAAACCAACGTGTATTGAAAAGCTTAGGCCTTTTAAACTATGTAAGTTATCAGTCACAACTTTTACACTTAAAAACTAGGCCCAGGGGTATTGTTTCTTAACCCTTAGAGTGCCAGGCGAGAAATAAAAGTAACGCTCAAAAAATGCCGATGATTTTTCCCGAAGGTCGCGCTAAAAATGCCGAGCGCGATCTGGCGATTTTTAGGTTAAAATTTTGTAAAAATCGAATTTTCGATATTTCGACCAACGAAAATCGATGTATCGCATCTAGTAACTTTCGACTCAATGTTAATATATGGGTTAAAAGAATCCGAGTATCCATTCGGTTGTTATGACAACTGTTCGATCATTACGAAACGTCCGGTCAGCCGGACGTTGGCACTTTTGGCTCGTTCTAAAAACGTCCGGTCGGCCGGACGTCGGCACTTTTGGCTCGTTTTAAAAACGTCCGGTTCCCCGGACGTTGGCACTCAAAGGGTTAACTGGGCTACACTAATATCAATTTAATTAGGCCTAGGAAACCTTCATTTTATTTTTCCATTTTCAGCTAGTTTGGTTAGTTAGGTTGGATTATGAACTTTGTTTCGTTTTATAACTGATAGGCTAGGCCTATATAGGCTACAGTAGCTAAAAAAATTATTAATCGATAAACTTAGTTTCAATTGATATTAAGCGAAGCCCAGTTAACACATTGAGTGCGGACTTGTGTGATCCTAGCAATAAGCAGTCTGCGCGCCTGATAAAATCTATTGCTGGCCGTTTTGAGGAAAAATACGGTCGCGTAGGTTATTACCGATGTCACCTGATAGGCTAGAGGACACACTAACGGACACGACAGTATCAATATCATGTACCGTGGGGATAAGTTAGAGGGGGGTAAAGTCAGCAATAAGTAACTTAGTGTGCGCGTCTTAAAAAATATATTTCTGGCTGTTTTGCGGAAAAATACGGCCGTGTACGTGGGGGATAAGTTAGGAGGGGTAAAGTTTTAAGATTTTACTTGTGTGAACCTGGCAATAACTCCAACCATAAGTAGGCCTAGTGCGCACGCTCGAAAAAATCTATTGCTGGCCGTTTTGCGGCAAAATATGGCCGCGTAACATATTACCGATGATGTCACCAGATAGAGGACACTTTAACGGACACGACAGTATCAATATCATTAACCTGGGGGATAAGAAAGGGGGAGGTAAAGTCAGCAATAAGTATAGCGTGCGTCTGAAAAAATCTATTGCTGGCCGATTTGCGGCAAAATACGGCCGCGTAACATGAAACCGATGATGTCACCAGATAGAGGACACTTTAACGGACACGACAGTATCAATATCATGTACCTGGGGGATAAAAAAGAGGGGTTAAAGTCAGCAATAAGGAGTACGCGTGCCCGAAAATATCTATTGCTGGCCGATTTGCAGCAAAATACGGCCGCGTAACATACTACCGATGATGTCACCAGATAGAGGACACTTTACGGACACGACAGTATCAATATCATTTACCTGGGGGATAAGAAAGGAGGGATAAAGTCAGCCATAAGTAGTGCGCGCGCCCGAACAATTCTATTGCTGGCAGATTTGCGGCAAAATACGGCCGCGTAACATACTACCGATGATGTCACCAGATAGAGGACACTTTAACGGACACGACAGTATCAATATCATGTAGGCCCTACCTGGGGGATAAGAAAGGGTGGGGTAAAGTCAGCAATAAGTAGAGTGCGCGCCCTCAAAAATCTATTGCCGGCCGTTTTGCGGCAAAATACGACTGCGTAACATACTATTGATGATGTCACCAGATAGAGGACACTTTACGGACACGACAGTATCAATATCATTTACCTGGGGGATAAGAAAGAGGGGTTAAAGTCAGCCATAAGTAGTGCGCCCGCCCGAAAAAATCTATTACTGTGATTTGCAAAATACGGCTGCGTAACATATTACCGATGATGTCACCAGATAGGGGACACTTTAACGGACACGACAGTATCAATATCATGTACCTGGGGGATAAGAAAGGGGGGGGGGGTAAAGTCATCAATAAGTAGAGCGTGCGTCCGAAAAAATCTATTGCTGGCCGATTTGCGGCAAAATTGGGCCGCTTAACATGAAACCGATGATGTCACCAGATAGAGGACACTTTAATGGACACGACAGTATCAATATCATGTACCTGGGGGATAAAAAAGGGGGGGTAAAGTCAATAAGTAGTGCGCGCGCCCGAAAAAATCTGCGCGACTTGAGTGGCTGCGCATAATAGGATTATAATACTTTATAGTAAAAGTTGGTGGTACAAAAGGATTGTCAACCAGTTTAGTCGTAAGTTATCACGGCTTTGAATGATCAATTTATTAACATAAAAAACAAATTCTCAACTCATGTTGACCTCTACAGCGACTGTCTAGCCTCCCTTAAACACAAAATTCTACACGATTAATTAATTCACACTCAATTACACTTATACATCCAAATACAGTTTACACCTTATACTTGAGGAACAACACTACTATCATTAGATTACAGTTAAAACTCAGACATACTACGCTAAATGATTCAGATTTACATATTATTATCATTTTTATTGTTATTAATATTCTTTATGCATTGTTATGGTTATTCATGGTCATTCTGCATTGTTATTGCTATTGTATGTCATAGTTTTATAGCTGTTATTGTTGATTGATTGTATTGATGCAATTGCTGATGAAATGTTGTTTTGTTGTATAGTTTAAGTCAGTCTTGGAGCTTATAATCTTATAATCTTAACTGGTTGTATTACTGTAAATGGCATTGCCGTGGAAAATGAAATAAAATAAAACATTTTAAGTTTTTCAATTTATATATTTCTAATTGAATGTTGCAGCAAACGAAAATTATCGTGATGAATGAGAAAGTAAAACGAAAAAGGCCTAACTAGTATCTAACCTTCAGTAAACTCGCGCACTACTTATGGCTGACTTTACCCCCCCTTTCTTATCCCCCAGGTACATTATATTGATACTGTCGTGTCCGTTAAAGTGTCCTCTATCTGGTGACATTATCGGTTTCATGTTACGCGGTCGTATTTTGCCGCAAAACGGCCGGCAATAGATTTTTTCGGGCGCGCCCACTACTTATTGCTGACTTTACCCCCCCTTTCTTATCCCCCAGGTACATGATATTGATACTGTCGTGTCCGTTAAAGTGTCCTCTATCTGGTGACATCATCGGTAATATGTTACGCGGCCGTATTTTGCCGCAATTCGGCCAGAAACAGATTTTTTCGGGCGCACGCTCTACTTATTGCTGACTTTACCCCCCCTTTCTTATCCCCCAGGTACATGATATTGATACTGCCGTGTCTGTTAAAGTGTCCTCTATCTGGTGACATCATCGGTAGTATGTTACGCGGCCGTATTTTGCCGCAAATCGGCCAGCAATAGATTTTTTCGGGCGCGCCCACTACTTATTGCTGACTTTACCCCCCCTTTCTTATCCCCCAGGTACATGATATTGATACTGTCGTGTCCGTTAAAGTGTCCTCTATCTGGTGACATCATCGGTAATATGTTACGCGGCCGTATTTTGCCGCAATTCGGCCAGAAACAGATTTTTTCGGGCGCACGCTCTACTTATTGCTGACTTTACCCCCCCTTTCTTATCCCCCAGGTACATGATATTGGTACTGTCGTGTCCGTTAAAGTGTCCTCTATCTGGTGACATCATCGGTTTCATGTTACGCGGTCGTATTTTGCCGCAAAACGGCCGGCAATAGATTTTTTTGGCCGCGCCCACTACTAATTGCTGACTTTACCCCCCCTTTCTTATCCCCCAGGTACATGATATTGATACTGTCGTGTCCGTTAAAGTGTCCCCTATCTGGTGACATCATCGGTAATATGTTACGCGGCCGTATTTTGCCGCAATTCGGCCAGAAACAGATTTTTTCGGGCGCACGCTCTACTTATTGCTGACTTTACCCCTCCTTTCTTATCCCCTAGTTACATGATATTGATACTGTCGTGTCCGTTAAAGTGTCCTCTATCTGGTGACATCATCGGTTTCATGTTACGCGGTCGTATTTTGCCGCAAAACGGCCGGCAATAGATTTTTTTGGGCGCGCCCACTACTAATTGCTGACTTTACCCCCCCTTTCTTATCCCCCAGGTACATGATATTGATACTGTTGTGTCCGTTAAAGTGTCCCCTATCTGGTGACATCATCGGTAATATGTTACGCGGCCGTATTTTGCCGCAAATCGGCCAGCAATAGATTTTTTCGGGCGCGCGCACTACTTATGGCTGACTTAACCCCCCTTTCTTATCCCCCAGGTACATGATATTGATACTGTAGTTAGAAATTTAGAGTTGTTAGAAATTTTGCAAACACACGTCGAAGCGGGAACGAGCAAGGCGGGAGTCGCGTTACATGTGCGAAGACTGCGGTGTTGCTTTGTGCGTCGTTCCCTGCTTCAAAGAATATCACACTCTGAAGCACTACTAAAAGGAACTAAACCAGCTTGTGTACATATTGTAAATAGTTAGTTTTTCATTTACTTCAAAGGAACATTTATTTTAAACTCAAGAAAAAAAGGTGAGTACTGTTTTAAAAAACTTTATTGTAGGCCTAATTGTTATTATAACTCAAGAAACCCCCCCTTCCCCCACCCCTCCATCTCAAATTTTAGTATTGTTAAAGCTTAATGTTTTTGAAGATGTCTACAAACAATATTGATAACTATTTTCTTTAAAAAAACATTTGGTACCATTTTTAAAATGACATTTATTTTTATAAATTGTTAAAATATTTTTCAGAACATTGACCGTAAAGATATCAAAAAGACCGCCAGAAGAAATAACGTTGCTGCTAAAAGAAGAGAAAGTGTCAAGTCAAATGATGATCCAGTTTTTTCACCATCTCATCCTGTTAGAAGGACCAGACGCTCCTCATCATTATTTAAAACGGTAGATACTTTTCTTATTGTCATCTAGGCCTAATTTAAAAGTATATTAGTAATTTAGGTTCTTATTAAATACTTTGTATGCTTATTCTTCATTAGGAATCTTGTTCAGGTCTATTTTAGGTATATCTGAATAGTGTCCAAAACCACATAGGCCTGAGTTAGGTTAAAATCAGTTTTGTGGCCCTTTTACATGCTAATCTGTCTTTGTTTGAAAATTATTTATAGACCTTTTAAAATCTCATAACATTTGATTTAAAACTACAGGTATACTGTTTAATGAACTTAATGCTTTATTTGTTTGTATTATTAGTAGCCTATCGAAACTTGTGTTGTTTACGACACCCTTAAAAGTTGAACTTTAAGGTTTGTCGTTTTGTGGCCCATCTTACTATTGAATTTTGGCTCACTTATTATACAATTAAATAATTTACGTTGTGTAAGGCCACGGGTAATGTAAGTGGCGTGAGCGGCGCCGCTCTGTCATCGGGTCTCATTTAATTGCGTGCAAATTTGTTGAGGGTGGCCAGGATACACCTGAGTGGCGATGGTAAGCAACACCGCTGAGCGCCGCTCATTGTTCAGAGTCAAAACAGATTTTTGCGAAAACGTCGCTTGCCGCTCAGGTGAGTCATGCTTTAGATCAGCAGCAAACGTGCGAGCCTTCAGCGAAACTCAAGAAGACAGAGGTGAAGTTGAGTGATTCTCACTTAAGTAGAAGTGTTGAAAAGTGAGGTGCAGTCTAGGGAATGTTTGTTGAACGACCAGCATGAAGGTTTTAAAAACAGTTCAGTCACCAGAAAAGTATGGGACGAAGTGGGGGCTAAGTTTTTTCTTAAAACCAAGTTTTTCTCTAAGGCAACAATTGTCAGAAAGTAACAACAGTTGCAATGTCTTGCGGGTCGCCACGGTTTGCCATTTTCGACTAAACTGACTCTTACAACCAGGGAAATTCGATGAGCGTTATAAATGTGCCGCTTGTATTGTAGCAACTACCGCCGCTTACGTGCTCAGGTTACCGCTCGCCACTTGTATCGTTCCAGAGGCCTAAGGCATCTCTAAATCCTTGTGGCTACTAAAAAAATATATCTCAAAACCCAAGTAAATTTTTATTTTTTTCTTGCCTGGTTAGAGTAAAAAAGTAATAATAAAATGTACCATTTGATGGTAGGAGACTTGTGACCTTTAAGTGGCATATTTTATGTTACGATAATAATGACGCCAAAAGTGTGTATTTTTTGTTTTTCTATAAAAGATAAAATAATACCTTAGTACTGTCAGATGACTTGTGGCATATTTATGTTACGATAATGATGACGCCAAAAGTGTTTATTTTTTGTTTTACTATAAAAGGTAAAACATTTCCTTAGTACCGCCAGATAGATCCTGTATGATCCTTATGGATTACATGTTTCCATCGCTAGGCCTACTCAATTTTGTATCGTGTAAATGTCTACGTTTGTATATAGTATGTTTTTGTCTTATTAAAACTGTTGTTGTAAAAAGTGTGTAAAAAGTGACAGTGCAATAGGCCTATATGTTCTTGTACAAGATCTGATGATGAGGACTTAAGTCCTTGAAACGCGTAATCCAGAAGGATCATACAGGATCATTCTGGCAGTAGGCCTACTCAGGTAATTTTATGACTTTTATAGTTTGTTCAGTGATATAGAAAAAACAACTCAAATATGTAGTTTTTGAGACTAAATCTTAAAACTTGCTGATTAAATCCAAACTTCTGGTGTTTTGAGATTTGACGTACCCAACAAACAACAAGCTTGGGTTGTGCATATCGCTCAGCAAAACAATGTGTAATTCTTATCTATTGAACTGTTTGTCTCAACACAGATCAGAATTAGTCTTCAAGTCAAAATTGTCTGTGAACAACAACACAGACAATTTATGTAATTTATGTGTTTGTGTAATTGTTGTAATTTATGTTCCTCACCTCATTTGGCTAGCATTAACTGCACCTTGGAATCAAAAGAATTGAATGTTAAGTACCCTTAAGTTATCTTACAATGCTGATTTTCAGTGTCTTGAAGAGTCTGATGGAACACCAGACAATTTGGATGAGGAATACAATCCGCCCTCCAAGATAAAGAGAACTGCTCCAGAGTGTGTTTTTGGACCAATTCCAGGTAGGCTTTACCTTTAAAGCACCTACGAGTATCTTACCTATCCCAATGCAACTGAGAAATATTTTTGTTTTAAATTGTTGAAACGATCTTATGATTAATGAACTAAACTGTGGAGCTCAAGTCAACAGCCTCAATACCCTGTTAGGTTTTGATAGTTTTAAGCCAAGCCATTGTCCAACCCAAGACAATGTGTGGAGGCACATCAGGGGAGCCAAGCGACACAGCAAGAAAGTCGTTGGTCAACTGGAAGACAGGAAATATAGCTGAGTAGAGGCGCGGGACATGGGCTAAGGCCCCAGTGAGAAATTGTGTTTAAATCATAAGCATCTAAAATTAATATAACCTAACCTTGATATAACGAACCTCGATATAACGAATTCCTTGATATAACGAATTTTTTTTTAATCCCCTAGAACTCTCCATAAGACACAATGTATATTTTACCTCTACATAACGAACAAACCATAACAACGACCTTGATTTAACAAATTTTTCGTGATTTCGGCTAAAATAAGACACCTCAATATAACGAATTTATCATTGTCAGAACCTCTACATTGCGAATTTAACCTCTGCATAACGAATTGTCTACGTCTTTCCCTCGATATAACAAATCCCCCACAACATTATTTTTGAAAAATCTGTTTCTTTATCAAATGTAATGGAAATGTGACGTCATCGCGTGCGCTAACATTTGTCTGCTTCGTTTTACACATATTTGTCTGTTGTCGCTCCGCGCGCTATGTTGCAACTGAGAACTGATTTCATTCACTGAGGACTGATGACGACGTAATGTTTAGTAAGCTGTGATTGGGCGATAAGTAACTATGATGGATTGTACAATTTTTGGATTTTAAAGAGAAACCTAAGAAAGTAGGGATGGACGAGATTGGATTTTTAGTTCGAGACGAGACGAGACGAGATTTTTTATTTCTCATAAAACTTCGAGTCGAGATCGAGACGGGATTTCTCTTCTCATACACAACGGGAAATGCACGTTCAAAATTTTTACCTGATTTTGTAACATTGTTAGATGACTGTTTAAATACAAAAATAATGATAATAGGCAAGAATATTTACAATCTTTTATTAAAAAACAACAGCATAACATTTTTATTAATCCGGCTAACTTATTAAAAATGTCTACGATTAGGAAACATAGTGATATCAGTTAGGATAGAGTTCAACTTATCCTAAAATAAAATAAATCATAAAATAAAAGCAATATTAATTTTTATAAAATAGTTACTTGTTTTGACTTTTTATAGTAATAAAACATTCTTCACACTGCTTACACTTAACAAAACTTTTCAAATGTTATTAAAGTAATATTATTAAAATAATTAAAGTAATATTTAAATTTAAAGAATTAATTAAATAAGAACGCCTTCGCAAAGGAAACGCAAAGTTGCGTTTCCTTTGCGAAGGCGTTCTTATTTAATTAATTCTTTAAATTTAAATACAACACGCTCCTGTATTGCGGGTATTGCATTGACTTTCTGCAGGCGTTTTTAATTTTTTTTTATTTTTTTTTTTTTATTCTCGTCTCGATAAAAATCTCGGCCAAAAAGAAATCTCGTCTCGTGTAACAAGATTTAAAATTTCCCGAAAATTTCCCGAAATTTCGAGACTTGACCATCCCTATAAGAAAGGATATAAAAACAAGAGCATAGAGAAAGAATAGTAACATCGTTATTTTAACATTCCTTTTACGAGTGTTTTTATTATCTTTAAGTTGGCTATGATTATACACTTTTATGACTTATCTAATAATTTATTGTTTTCAATACTATTTGTTTCAACTAGCAACACCAATGCTATAGTTAATGATTATTATTGACATTCCTCTGTTGTGATAAATCAGTACTGTACTGTAAGTAGCCTATCGGCCTATCACGAGCAGTAGCTTACAAAACTTTCTACTGTTTGTTTTGTTCTTTACATGGTTCAATACAGTGTTTGGCTAGGTTTTAGGAGGGTTAAAACAAGCTATGATTTTAAACTTACAGTTTTTAACCTGTACCAAGGTCAATGCCATTTTCATGATTGCGCAATATTCAAGATCCCTCCCCATTATTATGCCGGATAATTTTGGTTCTACTGTACAATGTAAACACTGTACTGTAAAGTATTGTAGCCTATGCTACTTTAATTGTATTTTAATGAGGTCAAATCCCGACCTATATTGACCGACGCTGGTTCTGAACCTCGATTTAGCGAAATTTCTGCAAACCTAACCTTTATATAACGAACCTCTTTTTAACGAAATCCTTGATATAACGAATATTCAGTTCGGTCCCTTCAGATTTGTTATACTGAGGTTGGACTGTATATAGCCTATGTGAGTTTTAGTTTCATAGCCTACTTTGACTGTTTTGTGTTGTGCCTATTTTAGGTAATGTGCAGAATGCCCTCCTGTACAGTATAGGATGGCAACATGTACATAGTACAACATGAATACACATCTTGATTGTGATGACATTGCAGGAGTGAGAGTAGGAGACTGGTGGCAGACTAGAATGGACTGTTCGAGAGCTGGAGTCCATCGTGCCACAGTGGCTGGTATCTGCGGCAAGTCAGGGGAAGGCTGCACCTCCATTGCCCTCTCTGGGGGATACGAGGACGACATTGACTGTGGAGAATACTTCACTTACACCGGTGAGTCTTTCAGTCCCCATCTTATACTTGTTAACCTGCCAGTTTGGTTAGTGTGGTAATATTGTAGTGGTATTTTGGATGCTTCAATATACAGTTAGTTTTTTTACCCAGTATTGTATTAGAAATGTGGTTGATTATTTTGAGTCCTATTTTCATCTTTTTATTTTGAACGTCAATTTAGTTTTCAAAATAATAATCTCTAATCAAAATATTCACCCCAAATTAAAATAACACAAAATATTTAAATGGGAAGTATTGCACGGTAGTTATTAGTACACACACTTATGGCCAAAATTAAGTAGAGGTAAGATACAAATTATATCAAATATTACATTTTAGCGAATTTCCCTATAGGGAAGTAGCTATTACCGTAGGTGGCACGGTAAGACCTAGACCCGGGACCGATTTACTTTTTCATTTTGATGTCCCCAGAGGCCAAAAACACCATTCGTTCAAATTTTTATATATGTATATATATATATACGTCCGTGAACGCGATAACTTGAGTAATTTTTGTCCGATTTTGATGAAATTTGGTTTAAAGGTGTAAAGCGGGATAAACTTGAATGAGTTCGCGAACCAGCACGATCGGACCATGAGAACGGGGCTTTACGGGGGGTTTTATGGGGTAAAAATTGGTTTTTCTCACTTTTGACCCTCAAAACACAAAATTTTCCGATTTCTCTTTAGACCTTTTTAAAGAGCTTAAAAAAACAAATAATTTAGTATATAAAAGTATTTTTGTTCGATTATTGGTAACGGAGAAAATTAAAGAAATTGTAAATTTAAAATTCCCATGTTATTCTTATGGGGAATATTGTCAAATGTTGTAGTTTGCTTGTTTATGGATATATTTTGATCAAACTTGGCAAATTTATTTATTTTGTACTAAGCTATCAATATTTTACTCAAAAACACACTTTATTAGTTTCCTTGTAGCAGCAAACCTAGGTACTCGTTAAACCTAATGTTATTAAAATATATTTAACTTAAAATCAATTCAGACAAATGGAAATTCGCTTAGTCGGCAGGTTTGCTGCGGCGGGGGTGTTTTAATAATTTCATTTGTGTTAGTCTTGGTACAGTTCTAAACCTGTGATTGGAAAACTGTGGAGGATATAATAGGTAAATATTCCCTCAGAAATATTCCATAGGCTATTTGTAAATTTTACCTAGACTAATAATACAGGGTGAATAAAAAGTCAAGACCCCCCCCCCCTCTAATATTTTTCCTAGTAAATATACAGAGATATCCTTTTGGTAGTCGAGCAATCTTAGCAGGAAGTTTCATTTTATCATTTTGAAATTTTTGAGGGTCCCCCCAAAAGGGGGGATTTGGGGGGCAACTCAAATATTTTAAATGTAAACCCCCTTCAAATGACACCTCATTTTGAAGTGTTTACAAAAACTTAAAGAATGGTAAAAACTAGAGGTCGCTATCTCTTCTCTATCCAAAATGGTAGCCCGTCAAATGTTGTGGAAAATCAATGGTAAAATTGTTAATATTGGCTTCCATTTTGGATAGAGAAGATAGCGAGCTCTGGTTTTCACCATTCTTTAAGTTTTTGTAAACACTTCAAAATGAGGTGTCACTTGAAGGGGGTTTGCATTTAAAGTTTTTGAGTGTCCCCCCAAAAGGGGGGATTCGGGGGACAACTAAAAATGTTTCAATAGAAACCCCTATCAAATGACACCTCATTTTGAAGTGTTTACAAAAACTTAAAGAATGGTGAAAACCAGAGCTCGCTATCTCTTCTCTATCCAAAATGGTAGCCAATATTAACAATTTTACCATTGATTTTCCACAACATTTGACGGGCTACCATTTTGGATAGAGAAGAGATAGCGACATCTAGTTTTCACCATTCTTTAAGTTTTTGTAAACACTTCAAAATGAGGTGTCACTTGAAGGGGGTTTACATTTAAAATATTTGAGTTGCCCCCCAAATCCCCCCTTTTGGGGTGACCCTCAAAAATTTCAAAATGATAAAATGAAACTTCCTGCTAAGATTGCTCGACTACCAAAAGGATATCTCTGTATATTTACTAGGAAAAATATTAGAGGGGGGGGGGGTCTTGACTTTTTATTCACCCTGTAGAATTAAATATGGACCGACAGCAGTGCTGCGGTTAGCATAAGTTCTGGCATCCACCGCTACTACCTAACTACACGGCGGTCCAAGCGGTGAATGCCAGAACTTATGCTAATCGCAGCACTGCTGACGGTCTATATTTAATTTTTTTTTGTATATACCAAGTATTGTATTTAAACGCAACAATAACTATTCACACACTCCTAATTGTAATATTCTGAAAAATAGTTTTGTAAACATCTCTTATGGTTTCTGATTTCTATAAATGCTGCTTCGGGCTGTGACTTTGTGTGTGTGAAAATAATCAGCAGCTGGACAGCCGATATCTATAAATATTATCAATTATTAGATATCTTAAATAACAACATAATCAAACAGTTTTACGTTTGTATGTTTTAGCATTGTTTTGATACGTTAGTATAACTTGTTAGAAAGATAAATGAGTATAGATCAATAGTTCTCAATTTGTAGACAACTCATTGTTTCCCACTTGTAATTCGCCCTTTTTGTACAGGTTCTGGTGGCCGTGACTTAAAAGGGACGAAAGCAAAACCTAAAAATCTTCGAACAGGTTAGTGTTTTTAGTCAGCCAAAGTTGTCATACAGTAGAACCCTCTTAGTTATTTTTAACATAAAATCAAACTAACATTATGGTACATAATTTAATTCCGTTCAATCAAATCGAAACACAAATAAAAACAAACAAATAACCCAGCTGATAAAGAATAAAATTTATATCATCAGTGTACAGACAGTACAACTATTCCCCCACAAAATTAATCCAACAGTGAGATACAGATAATGTGAATTTCTTTAGCTTGTGTAGCGTCCTCTGTAGGTGGGAGTGAGAAGTCTCCAGCTCCTCTACATGAGACTAAGCTTCCCTCAGCTTTCATTGTAATTTTCTCTTTTTTAATATTAACTCATAGACTAATGTTTCTGAAGTTTCTGCAATAGACTTATACTGAACTACTTGAGTCTCCAATCTTGCAACTTTTGCCTGCAAAGTTCTGACATCTTGTTCACCCTTCTGGCGTTTGAGCTTGTAATCATAACCTTTCAACCAAATGTTTAGACTAATATCCGGCCTCGGAATTTCCAGTCATCGGTTCATCCAGTCACTCCCGGAATCGATACAAAAAAAATTTCCCACAGCTGTACACGTAGGCTCTATGATTTGAGCTGTCTCAGGGTTTATTTGTTTCCTGTTCATATAAATTTTTAGCGGGTTCACTACTCAGTTGAGCCAAAAGATTAGATTCCCAAAAGAGACTTAAACACTACTTTTAACCAATCACAAGTTGTTATAAGAAACAAATTATCGTTTTAGTAATAGGTTGATTTATCCGGCCAAAATGTTATCCGGCCAGGGGTTTGGAGAAATGTAAGCCGAATATGAGGGGTTTTACTAGTTGTACCTGATCAAAGCTATTGAAAGACATAGGTGTTGAGACAGATTATCCCTCTCAAAGTAGTGGAAAGTGGCTTGGTGCTTTCCAATGTTAAACCCCGAGTGCCTTTCCACTATCCACTCTCCACACTGAAAATTTTGCACTATTGGTAACCAAATACCAGAGTGCATTTAAAACTGTAAATGGGTATATGTCAGGAATACTTATAAACTTAACTCTGATACTGCCTTTATTTATTTTTTCAACCTCCGTATTCACTATATTCACATTGTCAGGGTTACCCAGCTGATCAGAAAACCGTAAAACTCCTCAATGAAATCCACTGCCGGTAATAATCATCATTTGCTCTCTGTTACCGGCAGCGTGTCAACTAAAGATCAGGCTCGTGGAAAATGATCACAATGCTTTTGTGGCCACATGAGTGATGGCGCAGTTGTAAGATTATCACGGACGTTGTTGTGATATTGGTATCATGGATGTCTGTGCGACCGCAGAAAATCCTCAGGAGTTACTGCCATGAGAAGTGTTGACATTGTTGCAGATGTCACAGTTGATGGTCAAGGTTTTTTAAATAATCAAATCAGTTAATAATATCCGTTTGTTTACTTTTTACATTGTCGCTTGTGATTGTGGATTGTGCTCATGATGCTGCTGTGCTCGCCGAAGTTGCCGCAGTTGCAAGAAATCAGCACCAACCACCAACAGTAAACTATCTCAGTTGTTAATTGCAGTAATTGTGGAAAATCATTACGAATAATTGCCCTGATCACTGAAGATTATCTGTACTATCTGTCATAGAAAAAAACACCCTGAAGGCCTAAAGGCTGTGTTCGCCTGCAAATTTTGATGAGCAAGTTCAAACCATTACAAATCAAAGTTACAAAAATAATTTATTAAAAAACTTGAGTTGCCAACATTTGAGGCTGTGAAATTTTACTGAGCTGAAGAAGCATTATTTTCTTTTAAATCCATACTTTAATAGCATAGACAAAAAAAGTTAAATAAAGACCGACAGCGGTGCTGCGGTCAACATATGTTCTGGCGTCCACCGCTAGGAGTGCTGTGTAGTTAAGGCGCACACTGCTGCAGGGTCTGCTTGAAGCATACGGCAAGAAACCGACGGCGGCAGCGAATCGAACACCGAGCACGTTCTAGGGGCACACAGCGGAACTTTTCCTTTGACAGTCTATGCTAGTAACTACTAAAAATAGTTTTTTCTAGACAGTATTTGATGATGTTTCAGCACCGCAGTCCAAAGACCAAGTGCTGGAAGGAGTGAACGCACACCTTGCCCTCAACGTAGAGAATCACCGACCAGTCAGAGTGATCAGAGGATACAAACTGCCGGGCCCCTACGCTCCTGAGGAGGGTTACAGATATGATGGTGAGTTCAATAATATGTTCAATAATATAGCTTCTGGTCCATAGCAAAACCACATTTCTTGGATAGACCACATATTGTCATCGAGTGCCAAAGGCCTAAACGAAAGTCAGCATATTCCTTGAACAACTGCTGATCTTTTTAAACACATGTCAATTAACTTTAACTTTTGTATTAAAAATAGTCCAGATTACAACAAATTACAAGTCACAGATGTGTAATAGATAAACCTTTTTTGTTTGCTTTTCATGGCCTTACGTAATCCTCATTAGACATTGTTTGGTACTCCATGATTCCTAACACAATCCAACTGCTCTAAATTGCCAAAGAAGTCCGTTTACACATTAATTAACAACATTTAGACCTGAAATACAGAAGTACACTGTACGTATCAGATAACACTCGTAGAGAACGTGTTATTTTATGATTTACTAAATTCATATTTTTAATTTTCCAATGGAAGACGATTTGTTATGAAGGGTGGGGTCAAGGTGTAATAATTGTCTTTCTCCAGATTATCGTAAAACATTCTTCTAACCTTCTTATTTGTGGAACTCTGTAAATAACCGAGTAACTCAGGGCTTTTACAGTAACAATTGAAACCTTACAGTAGATAAGTGGTAGTGTCTTCTGAAGGTCCAGTGTTGTCACTCTCATCGTTGTGGTCACCTTTGGCATGACCAATTGATTAATTCCGTAAGACGTTTCAAAAGAAGTCTATGGTGACGGCCGGTTTGAAGATTTATTATTATTTTTTTTTTTATAATGAGTAGTCTAGATTTTACTGAAACATTTTCACTCAATCATATTTTTGATTAAATTTTGCCCAAAAATTGTAATTTGTAATAATGTAATCAATAGAATAGGTAATTAAACCATAATCTATTTTATTTTCACAGGGCTGTACTCTGTGGAGAAATGCTGGACAGCAACTGGTGTGGCAGGATTCAAAGTATATAAATATGCGCTGAAAAGACTTGCAGATCAAGATCCGCCACCTTGGGAGACAAACGAAACTGTCATCCCTGATCAAAATGGACATAATGAAACTACAGATGAGTCGCCAGAGGAAAATGTTAGTGAAGATGATAGTCACAAACCCAGTTCTACTACCGGACCAAACCCGTTCCCTGTATCAAACGACTCTCCAACCTCAGAACAAAATTCAAATCCCCACACTGCCTCAGAAGTCAAATCATCAAGTATTGTGAGTGAATATAAAGATTATGAACAGGAATCAAGTCCTAATACAAGTCCTCTTCAGCAAAATTTAGAGATTGAACCTGAAAATTTAAATCAAATACAGAAGTTGAGAACAAGAAAAAGCTCAGTAATTAACTCACCGGATAATGTTACTACCAAAGTAACAAACTCGACAAGAAAACGGAAAAGAGAAGCAATCAATGGAAATATTGAAATCGATACAGTTACAAATAAATCTCCTTACACTACAAAGCAAAATGTTTCAGTGAAGGAGAGCAAGATCGATGAAAATGCTAGTGAAGATGATAGTCACAAACCCAGTTCTACTACGGGACCAAACCTGTTCCTTGTATCAAACAACTCTTCAAACTCAGAACAAAATTTCAATCACGACACTGCCTCAGAAGTCAAATCATCAAGTATCGTGAGCGAATCTAAAGATTATGAACAGGAATCAAGTCCTCCTCAGCAAAATTTAGAGATTGAACCTGAAAATTTAAATCAAATACAGAAGTTGAGAACAAGAAAAAGCTCAGTAATTAACTCACCGGATAATGTTACTACCAAAGTAACAAACTCGACAAGAAAAAGAAAAAGAGAAGCAATCAATGGAAACATTGAAATCAATACTGTCACAAATAAATCTCCTCCCACTACAAAGCAAAATTTTTTAGTGAAGGAAAGCAAGATTGATGAAAATGTTAGTGAAGATGATAGTCACAAACCCAGTTCTACTACGGGACCAAACCCGTTCCTTGTATCAAACAACTCTCCAAACTCAGAACAAAATTCAAATCCAGACACTGCCTCAGAAGTCAAATCATCAAGTATTGTGAATGAATCTAAAGATCATGAACAGGAATCAAGTCCTAGTAACATACCAAGTCTTCCAAAGCAAAATTTAGAGATTGAACCTGAAAATTTAGCTCAAAAACAGAAGTTAAAAACAAGAAAAAGCTCAGTAATCAACTCACCAGATAGTGTTGATACAAAAATGGCAAACTCTAAATCTGTGACAAACTCCAGGACAGGCAAAAGTAAAGGAGAAGATAGCAATGACAATACTAAAATCAATACGGTTACAAATAAATCTCCTCCCACTTCAAAGCGGAACGTTTCAGTGAAGGAGAGCAAGATTGATGAGTCGAATCAAATGTCAGCAAAGAAAATGAAAACTGGTTTAAGGTCTAAAAAAAATCTGGCTGAAGGGAAAATATCCCACGAATCTCTGCTATACAATCAGGCTGCTTTGGGTGGAAAAGAAATAAGTGGTGATAATGTAAGTGTAACGATAGAACCGCCATCAAGTTCTACTTTAGATGATTCAGAGGCTACTGTGAAAGGATTCAATAATAATGCACTGTCCTCAAAAGACCATATAACAATGAATGGCGAATTAAGTAATTCAAACCAAGTCAAGTCTTTTTCTCCCAAATCCAAATCATCCTCGGAATGTTCGATTTCTGCAACTAATAAGTCTGATGAAGCCTTACAAACTGCGTTAGAAGTGTCTTCACATACATTAAATTCATTGGGTGGTCTTCAAGAGGAACTCCATCTGGAAACCTCCCAAAGAGACATATCCTCACAGAAGTGCAATAAGACAGCATGTGATTCTGCCAAATCTCCCCAAGTATTTGTTAAAGAAAACGGGGACGGTATTTGTAAAAAGCCTGAATTTTGTGCTAGCTGCAAACTTTCCCTTTCTAAGCCTGAATTTTGTGCTTGCTGTAAACGTTCACTTTCTTTAGAAACAACTGAATCCGAACTTAAGGACCAATCCAACAACCTGAACAGTGATGGTAAAAGACAGACTTTGATTTTAAAGTATTTTGGACCTGTTGAAAAAGCCAAGGGACAACAAACCTCTTCAAGTGGGATTTCCTTAAGAGGCAACAGACACTCGTTTATGAATTACACTTGCAAAATTGATTCTAATACTATCAAAGATATTGTTTCAAAAGATCATTGCCAGTCACCACAAAATAAAAATAAGAGGAAAAGAAAACATCCAACGAGAAAATCAACCAAATTAAACACCTCAGGAAGAAATGTTCCAACAGAGTCGGAAATTCTCAAGAGTTCACCAGTGAAACCATGTTCAGTAATCTTAGTCAGAATATCTCCAGTCTCAAACAATAAAACTGTTCTAAAGAGCGTTGAAAAATCTCCAGCCTTGAAGAAAGTTAACACAAATCCATTCCATAGTAAACTCACATGCTGGGACTCAGATGAGGAGGAGGAATTTTTAGGATTTGATTGCGACGAAGAACCTCATTTGCTTTTCTATGGGTTTGAGTGAATTCCAAGACGAGGTTTCAGAAGAGAAAACTACATTCCTTAGCAATAGTTACGCTTATTGATCAAGTAATACATATTGTTGTTACTTACGTTGTTAGTATTTTTGTGTGAATCTCACAATTTGCAAAGAAAACACATGTTTAAACCCCAAACAATATGAGATTTATAGGTTCAATTTCTCTATAGGAAATGATCTTAAAGTTATTATTTATATATTCATGAAAGTGTTGATAAATATATAGACTGACAGTTCTATCTAAAACTCTATTTGGTATTGATTATATTTGACACAGACTGATTGTTCTAGATATTTAATCACGCTTTTACTAAACGACACCTGGGAAACATTTGTAGTTATGCCCTGAACAGTTTCTTTCCTTGAAATAAATTGTTAAGTAGTATGTTAAGTAGCTATTGTATGTTTGCATTTCTTACTATGTTCACTTTTACTCATAATATTATTTAATATTTGATTCAAATTAATTCTGGAAGTAGCCTATTACCAATATTTAACAAGAAAATGTCCCCTGAAACGTTAACGTTACAGTTAGTTAAGCACTGGTACAAATAATTATTCCGAGAACACTTGCCTGATTTTCCATTTAAATTGTTTGAACAATACAAGTAAGTAGATACATAACATGGATATTTTTATTTTTAATTTTTTTAACTTTATTTAATTTACAATCTGTTCAAGTTGAACAATAAGCAAAAGCTATTTTGATTTATAAAATATTTTTTAACATGGAATCCAAACAAAATAATGGGTTTGCTAAGTTGCTAGCTTAACATCATAGAGAAGCAAGGTCAGAGGAAACTTACTTTAGGAATGACTGTCCGCTTTCAGCTCTAGTTTATTTTGTGGGTGTTTGTGTATTGCTAGGGCAATATACTTGTGCCGAGCAAGGAAGAGCTATAGTGACAAGCACTGTGCAGAAGTTCCTATTACACAGGACACAGGGTCTTCATTCAGCTTCAGTGTTGTAGAACGTGATAGCGAGAGGGGAAAGGAGTGCAAGGGAGGTTAGGAGCAGCGACTAGTGCTAGACACCAGTGACTAGTGCTAGACACCAAGGTGACTACCACTTAAGTGTACAACTGAATGTTACCTCCATACCTTATTTCTCTGTGGTTACATCAAAGTAAGCAGAGTTCTAAAACTATTGGTATTTGAAATTTTGGAACAATTAAATTTAAGTGACCTTTTAGCATTATTAGTGAAAAATGTTTTTCTCTTGTCACACACTTCATACCTGGAATTGGTTTAGCTTCAGATAGATAAAATAAAACCAGCTTGTCATATCCTGTATCAGTTTGTAAATAATCACCTGGTTTTTTATTTGTTAACTTGTGTTTATTTATTTAATGGTTTCGCTTTTGCATAGGTTTGTTATTCTAAATTGGGTCAAACCGAGACTCCCCCGTAAGTTAATATTTTTTTTGTAATTTTGTTTTTACTTAGGTTATGAACTCTGCTAACCTGATCAAGACTGTGTAGATGTAAAATAATATTCGTAACATATAAGTTACTGATAATTATTTGCTCAAATATATTTAGGCCTTAAAATTCAACAAATTTAACTCTACAAACACTTTTAAGCTTTGTTGATGATAGAGTAGATATGATTTTAGAATTTTTAATACCGGTATACAAAATAAAAGGCTGATGTGACATGTTTCTATTTTTTAATAATAATAGGTCTAGTAAGTAATGGTTTGTAAAAGTCATTTTAGCTTGATAAACATTATTAAGGTTTTTAGTTGTAATAGTTATACATTATTTGTAATAGTTTTTTTGACTGACAACAACAGACTGAAAAGTTGGATTGTACAGACTCTAGGTGGTCCTGAATTTATGATAGACAAAAGCCATTTTTACCTAATTGTAGAATTTTAAAAAAGTAATTAAAAAGATTGCACGTAAACCATCAAGTAGTTTTCATTTGGTTAGTATTTTTCCTATTTCTAAGTTATTTTACCAACTCCAAGAACTATATTTGATAGTAGAGTCTTTGTTATGATGTTTTGTTTGCTCAATGTTATGTTTTGTTTTCTTTTACAAAAAATAAATTTGTTTTTGCCAAAGCGTGTGTTTTATCATTTTATCAATCAAAAACAAAAGAAGAATACAGGTTTTTAAAAATGTAACACTGTTTTATGCTGTAGATAAAAATTAAAAAATGTTTTATGTTATATTGCAATATCAGAATAGCTTAAATTTTCTCCTAATAATGAGGCCTATGGAAAGGGAGGGAAATAGGTCCATGTAGGATGTGGTGAAGGAAGTAGTAAATGCTTGCAGTGCAGAGTGTGGGAACGTTGTGCCAGTTGGATTAATGTATCTGCTATACTAAAATGCTATTGGGAAGGGAGGGAAACAGGTCTATGAAGGAAGTGGTAAAGGAAGTAGTAAATGCTTGCAGTACAGAGTGTGGGAACCGTTTGTGGCAGTTAGATTAATGTATCTGCTATACTAAAATGCTATTGTATTGGGAAGGGAGGGAAACAGGTCTATGTAGGAAGTGGTGAAGGAAGTGGTAGGTAAAGGCGGGCAGTGCAGGAGTGTGGAAACCGTTTGTAGCAGTTTGATTACTGTATCTGCACTACTTGAATGCAGAGGGAATGGAGGGAAAAAGTTCTACGACTTTAGGAAGTGGTGAAGGAAGTAAGGCCTGGCAGTGCGGAGTGTGGGATATTTTAAGGATATTTCGTTTTCATAAATGAATAATCCTATACTTTTATATGAGCAATGTTTGCTATTCTATATCATTAAATGTTATAAGGTAAGTCCATTTTCCAATTCTAATTACATTAAAATAAAAGATTATTTGTCAACTATTTTGATCACTCCGCTCAATTGGCACACCTATTAGGCTACAAACCCCAAATGCTATTTTAAATGTAATCTTTTATATATTAATAGGCAAGCAGTTTCTTTAAAACCTTTATTCTCAGCTCGTGTGCATCACTGGCATCACAGAGAAAATCTACGCATACTGTTGGAAATATATTTTCCTGTATAAGTGCAGAATCCCTTTATAAATTAAAATAGGCTCAAAAATAAGCACAATAAAATGAATTTGAAATTTAAAAAAAACTAACATGGCCTTATGGGTTGTCATGCTGGTGACTAAATAACAACAGAAAATCTAAACAAATGGAATAAATTACAATCACGTGTGTAATATACTACATATTTCTTAATCGTGACTACATATTTTCATCTGCAAAATAAGCGAACGAATGTTTAAAGCTATATAAATGTAACAAAACATGATAGGGGAGACCGGGACTGGTTGTCACAATTTTTAAATTTTGTTTTTTTTTCTACTTAAGTAAATGAGTTTCTACCTATTTTACATTCCTAGGTAGAACAAGACTGAAATTCTTCTACGAATGTATTGAAAACACCTGTTTACTGCAGTATGACGATAAATGCATTATTCGATACAATATCATTATAGCAGTAGCAGGATAAATAAAGAAATAAGCATTTGCTGGCTACCTCTATTATTGTCCAATGCCAGTCAGTCAGCTGTGTATCGTTGCTATCTAAAAGGCAGTGGCTGAAGATTCATTGTTGCAACGTGCTATTTCGTCTCTAGTTAGGTTTCTTGTGTACCATTAAAATTCGATCGGGTCCGTTAATTTGTCCATCTCATTTTTCATTGAAACAAATCTGTCAAGATTTTGCCATGTTTTGTTTTCTAGTGGTATTTTATCATAGTGCGATAGGGATCGTGCTTTGTTTTTTGTTTAGGTGGTAGTTTATATCCTGTGCAAGTGAATAGTGCCAATTGGCCTCATTTTGAAAAAAAGGAAAGCAAACTAGCAAGGTAGGTAATTTGTATTTACTTCCAATGCTGTTTATACCGGTATATTAAAAAAAATCATATCATGTTTTACCCCAAACCTATATATTTAATATATTTCATGTAATCGTACCTTTGACAGATGTTACTTATTTTTAACCAATTAGAAAGCTAATACTGCTACATTTCTTGGTTATGATTTTGGTCTTGGATTGTCTCGGTTTGTAGCCCTTCAAATATTCATTCTCGTTTTCCGGCGAACATCCACATAAACATTTAACTTTTGTGATGTATTTTAGTTGTTGAAACCAATGTTGAAACTCAATTGTAGAACGGTTTCTTGAATTTACGAACCAACAAATGTAGTTAAACAACGGGTCGTTGGGTGAAAGATGTTTACATTTTAATTATTATGAAATGTGTTTTTATACTAAAAAAAACACAACCAACTCTAGACCAAACCAAATGCATTCTTTAGTCCAACTCATCTGAAATCACTTGGTATGTTAAAAGCAAAGTACAGAACGGATCAATTAGATTACCAAGCGGTTACTTGAAAGGAGGCAATGATTTTAAGGCTAATGAACATTTTCCGTCTCCAATCCGAGTAACCAGGTCTTGTCCGATAACGATGTATTCACCTGATAGACCTCCCACGTTGCCGAGTGCATTCCTGAGTGCACGGCAGTCATAATATGTAAATTCGTTTCTGCGTATTCTTCTGTGGATCTTGGATAGGACGTGAATATAAATTATCACGGTTAAAAATTGTGACGAGGAGCCGTCATGCACAAATGGCGTATTTTTATAGGTAAATGAAAATAATTATGAGGTGTTGATATATTTATGTGTTCTTGAGAATTGTAATGTCGATTGTATGTATTTCATAATAACGAGTGATTTACCTACTTCAAGCCACAATTCATAACACATAAACATAACCTACATACAACAATGCATAAGATCAAAAAAATAAATGTTCCCCATACTACGATGTTTTAGCCATTTTACACACCTTTATTGCAGGCCGAAAGCTACGTATTGCTGTCCATGTCAGCTGTCATCGTTATTTGGGGACTGAGCAGGTTTTTACATCCCTAGAGCTGATAAATCAATCCTATTAGCCTAAATACACAAGCAGTACCCATATGCATTGCAATATACTTGTGTTATTGTCACCGCTGCCTAGACAACTATTTATGGAGATTTTTGCTGATTCCTCATAATATTTCACATAACCTTAAAGTTGTAGTTGTGTTGACTGTTAGTTTGAATTATTATTGTGGCGAATAGTGGTAGAGTACAGTGTGGTGAAAAATAGCGTTCATACCACCATTACCAACATTGACTAGATATAATGTCAATGGTACCACGGGCCGAAATGATTTTGCAGCTCTCGATTGTTTCAACCCGATCTCGAGCCGACAAAACCTCATTTTCGGCCCTAGGTACGAAATATACTATTCCACAAACGTTTCGTCTATTGTTTAAATTTGACCCTGTTTTGACATTAAATTAAAGGCAATCAGCTGTTAAATTTCGATTCGTGTTTAAACCCAGCACTGTAAGTTTGAAAGCGCCTCCAAAAGTAAATTAAAGGCTAAGGGGCGAAGCCATAAAGGAAATTACTGTATTACCTGCCAATCGTCTTTACACTAAATCCTTTAAGCTTTAATGACGCCACAATCGTAAAATTCAGCTGAGTAGAATGGGAAAAAAGGGATACATTACAGAGTAAAACGTATACAATATTTATAGTCTCCCATGCAAGTTATGCAACGGTAAGTACACGTAACTTTTATTGTACGTCAGTCTCAGAAAATTAGATCATACATACATATTATATTAGTATCCTTCCTAAAAAATTAGATGCAATAATGTTCTTGAATCTCATATTAATAATAATGTTTACATGTTGTGTGGTCTAACCAATAAGTGTTCATTTCATATCATTTGTTACACAACGCCTGTCTTTGACTAATTTAACGAAGCCTCCTTATAGATTTTAATCTGTATATTTATAGGTTATTTTACCACCTCTAAAAATTGCGTAACTAGATATTTGTTATTAAATACTTCCTTTGACGATTCCTAGTAGTAACAAAGCACCAATGAGTAATCATACACCAATACACATTTCAGGTATTTATCCATAAGTTGAAAGAAGGTATAAAAGGTGCAACTGTTGTGAAGACAAATTGTTTAGTCTGCCGCAAGTAGTGGAAATAAGTCCTTGAAATGGAGATGGGAGATAGAAAACAGACATAACATTAGTCCGAACAGCAGTTGAAAGTTCAACGCTTAGCTTGTGATGGGTTAACGACTGATGAAGTTGCACCTGCATATTTCACTAACTTGTCTTGTAAGGCAAAAGAAAATAACATAAATGTTCCTTCTGATCTTTCAAATATAAAATGAATTACTTAGTGGTACCAATTTGACAAAATATAACCATGGATTAGTGTTTTAGGATGCCCACTTGTATGTTGAACTTATTACTTATAACTGTTTTGTATTGTTATTTTATTTTTTACAAAACTAAAACTAATTGTAAAGTGATATTTGACCATGGATTAGACTCTTAGGCTATCCACTTCTTGAGTGTTGAGTAACATAGAGCTAACTTTTACACAATGTTTTACAAAAATATCTAAGAGCTTCACGTGGCGCCTTCGACTGTAAAACGCAATAAGCAGTAGATTACTGACAAGTGACTGCGTCGACTAAATTGAAGGCGTTACAAAAACTCCGTGGGATGATCACGACTAGGCCAAACAGTCATATTTACGCATTGTCTAAAAATATTCATGATTGTAGGGACATGAAACCCCTCGAACTAGTGTTAGGGGTACACAAGATTAATCCAGTTTCATCCAAAACGAATATTGGTGGTTCTTCCAATATCCTACTTTTCCTAATAAATGTTTTCCTACAGTCACCCGACAAAGTGGGCTTCCTTGCGCTGATTATAGTACAGCTAATTGCTATAAATAAGCAAATTGCTTGGTAGTAGCTGTTAATTTCTGTATTTACTTACTTCGCCCACTATTAGATGGCAAAGAAATTAGCTTTTCTTCAGAATTTAACCAAGGACCCTATTTAAATATTCTACCACTTATACCATACAGTTATTTCAGATTGCCTCATTTGTGTGAAAGCTAAGTTTATTACCCCTAGTTTATTTTGTTTCAATAAACATCAATTTTATAAGGGAAACAAAAAATAAACAAAAATAACGCCCTTCACAAACGCCGGATGGAAATATAGGAATTTTCAGTTGATCCACCAAGATAATGAATCTGTTTTTGAGGTTGGGTTTAATATATGCGTAGACTTTTGCCAACTCGTATGTCTGCAATACATAAATTGGCAGTACGGCTGTACTTTTGGCAAACGGAATTACAATTTATTCTGACAAGATCTCGTGGGCAGCGGGTAGGAAGGAAACCTACGGATTCACATTCATAATATAAGTTATGTCTTAGGTCTGTCTTGTCAAGGTGCTTGAGTGATGTTTGGCTATAAAATAACTAATAACTAATAAATAATAATATCCCAGTGAATTAGTAGGCTATAGCTCCGTGCTTTTCAACGGGGTGTGAACATAACATTTGTTAAAAAACAAGTTCTTTGAAACTAATGATGATTTGCCTATTGGGTCCGATCGAAATCGACCACCACTACTTTTTTTATGCACCTTAACATATTACATACCTCTTATGTATATTGTCTTGCGAGTTAACAGTATGAATGTAAATCTATATTAAAGTGACAGACGTATTTTTTATTTACTTTCCGTAAATTTAATAACTTGATAATACTGATCAAGAAATTATTGAAGGAACTAAAGTCAATTTTAACCACGAATCATATAAACTTTAAAATATTTAATACTAGCAGAGTACCCGTCCTTCGTACGGGGTAGGCTTATATAAAAAAAATAAATTAAAAATAAACGGTATCAGCATTCTGACACATACTTTCTCCCATAAGTTTGTCAATAACCTTTATCATGTGTAAGCGGTGAGAGTAAATATACGGAAATGGGATTTGTACAATTTTGTTCAGAATTTAAAGAACTATAACATACTAAATTTTTATCAAAATTGTTCGAGCCAATCTTGGGAAATCCGATTTTTCCGTTATTTAATGGGGTTTTTATGGGGAAATAACATAATTTACAATAACTTTTGAACCGTAATTTTTACAGAAAAGGGATTTGTACCATTTTGTTCAGAATATAAAGGAATATAACATACTAAATTTTATCAAAATTGTTCGGGCCATTTTTGGGAAAATCCTTTTTTTCCGTTATTTTATGGGGTTAAACTGGGGCGGATCCCGAAAGGATTTTTGAGACAAGGATGCGTCTATATGTTAATCGGGAATGTGAGCTATCATCAAACCAAATTTTCAGCGCAGTTCGACTAGTATTTATCGCGTTTACTTGTCACAAACATCCATCCATCCATCCATGAAATCTTGCTCACTTATAATATTAGTAGGATTTTTGGTAGGATTTCCTAAATAGTTTTAGCCTGACAAAATGATGATTCAGTAAATAATAATATTAATCCAGTATACATATGAAAAACATAGTTTAGTTTATTTAATTGATTTTTGAACTAAGACACTCTAAAATAAAAAGAAGTTAAATAGTATGACATACACATTTGGAGATAAAACAGGGGTTCGTCATTGAATTTTCCCTATTTACCATCTGTGATATTATTGTAGAGAGAATCGAGAAGTAAAGACGAATCGATTCATATAACATTTATTCATTCCAATAAACAATGCAATTAACAGCTGACTGAAGCCGACGGAGACAAAATAAAAGCAATAGTTAGCTGATCGCCGCAGCTGATGATGAATGAGACGATTTGTGAATGGACGAGTACGAGAGAGAGTGGAGGGGGGGGGGGCAGACAGGCTTTGACTGGCCAGACTCCACAACAATGGAATGGAATAGTTAGTTAGTGTTGAGCCGAGGCTCGAACGCGTTACTGTCGTGTGTGTTTCGTAGACGTATTTTCGCGTGTTCGTGTGCGTGTGTGAAAGTGTCAGTCTGTGGATAAAATGTTAAGGTACGTATTGGATTAGGGTTAATATTTTTATTATAATTGCATTAATTTGTTTGTTTACTTTTCATTGAGAAAGATAATTGTTATTTTATTCACGTTTCATGTTATTTCTTGTCTTATTTTTGAATGCATCTTTCGAGGAGGATTGCTAAGTTAAATGACGTTTTGGGTTGTATTTAAAAAGGTTTGATCGTACCGCATACATGTTAAGTTTTGTTTTGTATTCTTGGTTAAATAGTATCCAAATCTATGTAGGCCTGCCTGTGTGCGTGAGACTTTGGACTCAGGTACGTCGACAAAGTTTAGGAGTGAATTTTATAACTTAATTGATATTAAAGTTTTATTTTGAATTAATTTATTTAACCCAAATGCTATAGACAAAGTGAAAAGTACAATACTGTTGACACAAAATAACTTAAAACTTTCCCGGAGTCCTCTAAAATTCTCGAAACTTATATCATACTGTAGCTTAAATTAGATTCTTACTTCTCACGTAGGTGGATATTGCATTTTGTATTATTAATAGCTTTGGAATGCGTTGTAAAAGTGTTCATCACGGAGAAATTAAGTTTTGCTTCTAATAGATAGACCTTAAAAATACCTTTCTGGGAATTTTATTTTATGCTATATTACATTCTCCAGCCAGAAATAACCTTTTCTGAATATAAAGGACGTACCATTGAATCTGGTATTGATTGATTAACCACTTCTTACCAAGAATGCTCGGATAGATTTCGGACTTGAACACAGTTAGGACTCTTACAAAATTATGATTTCTTGACAATGGTGAGATGGTAATGTTATACGGATGTACTGTAAGAGTTTTATAAAATAGTGTTTCAGCTCTGTAACTAATATAATATAATATAATATAATATAGTTGATATGAGCTAAAACCACAAAATTACCTACTTTGGTGAATTGGATTGCAGTTGATTGAATAATAAGGCATTGAGTTTTCGAAATTCTTTTTGCATTTGATTTTTGTTGAAACTTTTGGTTTATTACATTCTAATTAGTTCTCTACACCTAATTGAGTCTTCTTTCGTCGTAGTTTAATTTTATTTGACATATGTCTACCTCCCTTTGTATGGACACACATAGTTGTATTGTTTCTGAATGTTGTTTCTGAATCTATTGATAATATCTTGTATATGCGTACGTAAGATTTTATGTGTATACAGTATAAAGTTGGCACATCCATACATTCAATTTTCCACGCGTTATTAGATTTTCAACGTATTTACGTAGGGTCTTAAACATTGGCCAGTCCCCAGGATACAGGTTTTATCATACAGACTATAGGCTTCCATTAACGATTGACTCACTCAAGTACAATAGTTCTAAACTAATTACGGCGGTTTTACCGTCTTTATGCGCAATTTAAATAAGAATTAAGATTCTTTCAATTCCGTACTTTACCTAATATGTATACTACAGGTAAATTACACAAACTTTAATTCAACTGCATAAAAATTAAGGAAACACTTCCATTTGACTCTCAGAATCATATTTTCCTCCGTGACCAAGCCAAATGCCATAATCTCAATATTGTACACCTCTTCTTGCAACAGTCCATATCTGACCAATCTCGTCTCCTAGCACTGACGTTTCATCATCCTCCTAACCTAGTGATCCGCACAGATGCCCGACCCTGGTAGTATTACCATAGTTCATCGTTTATGCATTCCAGATCGTTTTTCACCGTCGTGTCGTTCTGTCGACGGATGAGTCGTAATCCCTGACGTCATGAATCGTGGCTAGTGCGGAACCTAGTGCGGAACCTAGGAGGCTTCTGTCCAAAACGAAAGCAACACATGAATGATCTAGTAATTAAAGTCTATGTAATCCGTTAATGAAGTTTTTTTTTTTACAAAATCACCAAAAGCTTTTGTATGGCATTTAAATGAACGTACAGTAGATATCTTTAGCTATGCGGCAGTGTTTATGATGATTGTTATGTTTACTTTACTTTACTTTACTTTGAAATGGCAACCATACGAATGTAGGTATTTTAAGGCAAGCGAATGGAGATGAGTGTAGGATGAGTGGCGCGATCTTGTAGTCTAGTGACTAGGCCGACATGTTCCTTAGACACAGCTGTTAATTAATGACCGTACAGCTAATGGCAACTGAGGGACCTACAGTTTATAGAGGAATCCGAACCACATTTTTTGTAATTGACGAATTGGTGTATTAGGATAGCACTGCGGATAGTCGTAGTACTCACAAGTGCGGACGTTAATCCACACCAGGGAGTATCGCATCCACAGTGCATGCCTATAAATATCCACAACTCGTGACGTCCAAGTAGCTGGATTACAGGACGATGCCACCGTTCCAGTCATTAGCTATTCTGCTGAGTGGTTAACGTTAACTTATCCGCATAATCAGAAGATCGCAGGTTCAGCTTTCCTTGATCGTTGGGTCTTATAAGTAAGCTTGTCTTGTGAATTAAGTGAATAAAAAGGTACACAAATCACATAACTCATTTTCCATTCAAATTTGAGTTAAAATACGCTATAGTGATCCTATCTTATAATAGCGATGTTGGTAGTGATATATTGTCAAACTGTGAGATTGTAATAGTATTTCGATCTTCTATTCAATAAGTTTTTACTGAAGGTTCTACAAGGACGAGTAACTTTGAGGGCATTGGTCAGATTTTAAATTGAATCTATTGACATAAACACACATCGTACAATAGGCTACATTTAAAGATTTGGTATTAAGTTAAGATTTCGAGTATAATTGGCATAAAACTATAATGTATTCTGACTATAATTAACCTATCTCCATGGTTCTTTAAATCTCGGGCGACAGAATAAATTATTTAATAATTATACGTCAGTGCTTTTTATCGTGTATAACTCTGAATTGTCACTAAGAGGGGTTGTTCCTGGAAAAATCAATCTAAAGATTTACACGGTACCAAAATCACTATTAGTGAAGGAATAGAGTTGAAATAGCCTTTTTCAGTTTATATAAAAGTGTTAGTGGATAAAAAGGATGCTTTGGTTTACAGTAAATTCTATCAGTTTGACTTCAATAGAAATTAGTTGGACCGATTTGAAATTAACTGTACATTCTGTCGATAGCTCTATGCATCTATCCTTCATTATTCATCATGGGCGTATAGTACATCTAATGTTATCAAATCCAACAGGTTACACATGAGTCACAGACGGATGACGTCATGAGCGGCGTTCCTCAAGGTTCAACGTTGGCTCTTTTATTTCGTCTCCCGCTGTGACATTTGCTTACAATAGATTCATTCCACTCTCGACCCGACGAGGACCTGTAATATCATAATTTCAGACCCGGCTCATTCTATACGTCGTTAGTTTTTATTTATACCATGCAGTGGTGACGCAAGAGTTGACTTTGTGATCAACTTGCTGCTACGTGTAGGTGTTAATTTCCTAGAAAACACTTTTTTAATCAACATTATTGTGTAATATATTGCACAATGTTATAGTAGGTTGGCCCATGCATAGTTCAGCTATTTTACAAGACCTATGGTAATCTCTATTCGAAAATTATTAAGAATTAATTATTATATTCATTGTTTTCCAATCAGCATGTGGATACTTTTCAATGCAGTTATGCAGTAGTTCATGGTGCCAACCTTTCTATACTCGTTGTTGGTGTAATATTTACACTTATGATGACTAAAAGACTAACTTACTAACTTCTTCAAATCAACTCCAAAATACCCCCCTTGTCAAACTTCTTTATTATTACCAACAATCATATTTCACGATGTAAATACAAAATGCACAATATGATATGCAAAACAATTACACACTATTTAAAACAGCTGCAGCATCAGAATGTGCATAGAACTCTCAGATTCACAGAGTATTGCGGAATGCTATCCATGCTTCAATATTTTGAAGATTTGTGAAATTTATAAACACACTTTTTGAAGTGCGGCGTTGAACTGTCAACATTTGTTGGAGCACAGCCTAGAGACCATGGTAACGGGTCTGTCCAGACAGCTAAGTCGTGCCTAGGATAGGATGTAGCATGTAGTGTCTAGCCTCCAGGTCTCACTGATATCCAACTCTGATTGGGCGTGGGAACATTATATCCAACGTTTGTGCACGATATTAACATTAAAACGCCCCAGTGGCATTACTTGATGTTTTGGCCAACGGAGGAAACGTCCTATTGCAAGTTGGGTCCGATTATTGTGATTTAGTTTTAATAATCCCCGAAGATGATGTTTCCCATACGTAAACTAGTTAATTCTCCTAAACAACGTAACCTAGAACAATTGTATGACTCAAATTGTAAACTTAAAATTTCCATATTATTGTTATGGAGAAAAATAAACTGAGTTGTAGGATGCATATTTTTGTTAAACTTGGCAAATTTAATGATACTAAGCTATTAATACTTCACTGAAAAACATATATTTTTACTCTCCTTGTAAAATCCAATTAAGACACAATCAGGCAAATCACAGAGAAGGATGGAATTAGCTTGGTCTGCAGGTTTGCTGCGGTAGGGGCGTTTTGCCTCATGTGAATCAGGTGATTATCAAGACTTTACCCAATGGAATGTTACATTGTGGATTGAGGAATTCTTGGTATATGTTTATATTGTAAAATACATGCATCGATCAACAGGGAACAAATTTACCAAGTTCCGAGACACCAAAATTTTCACAATAAACCAATAATTCACAATAAAATGTATTTTTAAAGGGCATAGTGTTTAAATTTAAACAACAAACGAGGATATCCCGAGCGTGCACAGAAAGTCGTTAATCATTTGTTATTAATGGCTGTCAAATTAGCATCCAGTCTGAGCTCTACGATCTAAGGTTATCGATTAGTGTTTTAATTGACCCTCCGTTACTTTGGTATTTAGTTAGGAGAAATGTGGGCAGTTGATTTATCGTGAGTGTTTTTAATATTAGATTGTCCAAGTGATGATTGGCGTCTTTGATGCATCGTGGGCGAAAACCATCACGTGATTAATTATCACTGTATGTT